TGTAGCCAAACTCTTCGTCTCCATAACCGCCAAAAGTGCAAGGAACTGACTTGTCATCAAGCTTTGATCTCTGCTCCTTCGGAACATGCATAAATGCCTTGCAGCCAAATGCCCTCAGGTGAGAGTATGAAATATTTCTACAGACCTTCTCCCGGCCGGATATTCTAAAAATCCAAAGGTGCTTGCCAGGTAGTCGCGTTGCATTAGTAGACAACAGTACTGTGACAGGGCTCTTCCCCCCAAAAGATGGGCTATAGGTTTAAGTTGGCCATTCTTCTTAGCATGGAATTGACTCTTTCAACAATTGGCTGCGCTTCAGCCGCTTCCAGCAACGCCGTGCTCGTTAGAAGGGCGTACCAGGAACTGTTTATTTCCATGCCTGGATACTATGCTGACCTACAATAATCCTCTAAAACTCCTTAGAGATGTGATTCACCCACCATTTATCCGTGCCCGCAATACACTTTAATGCCCCACTCCAGTCTCCCTTTGGACACCTATCCACCATCGCATGTGAATTGCTGAAATGCTTGACATACTTGGTCCTCTTGTGCACAATCCCAACAAATCACTCATCCATACTTTTTCCGGTGAGGAAATCATCACATGAAGGTGAAGAAATAAAATCTACTTGCCTCCAAGTGATTTTCTATCTCCATAGCGCACCACAAACTGTTCCAGCGGGTGCTCTTGTACCAACTCGAACTGTCTGTCTTCTTCGTCTATAAGCTTGTCTTGAAATGATGACACGACTGTTGCTTCCCAAAAAAACACATAGAATCGCCAAGGGTTTTTTTTACCTTTGGCTAATGGGCCATGAGGTTTCTTAGCCAACATATTCAACCCTTTTTCTCACTAACTGCGCCAGACGCCTTATAACCCATTTAAAGGATAAGCTCTCTGCGTAATATAAGAATTAGACCCGCACATTTAGTTACCTACTACAAGCCTGACCCACAAAGACCCATATTACATTAGCCATCTCGTCAATCAAGGACATAACGCCTAACTGCTCAAACTCAGTTACGAGTGCCTTTCAAAATCATTCAGCGTGTTGTGTCAAGCTGATCGCCCCAATCTGCACACTCTCAATTCATGACTATTTCGAATCCAGATGAAACACAATTACCGTTGAGCATTTGTCAGCCTCCGTACAATTATTCTCTAATTTCCTTCCAAGAGAACTGGGATCTTGTTCACTTACTCACGTGGTTGTACAGAGTCAGCATCTATCCCAAATTGTACCCAGTGTCTGCTGTTTTATAAACTTTATCTCATGCCTCCTTTCTTTCATTTCCTTCTGCTATCTGTACCCAATGTCTGCTTTTTTAACTTATCTCACTGCCTTTCTTTCATTTCTTCTGGCTTTGCACCGTCACCTTCAATTGGATCGTACAGATCTTTGCAATTGAGGTAGTCCTCCATTCTGGATTTTCACATTGAATAATTTGAATCCGTCAATTTGATCATTGCCCAGTCGTTAGCCATGTCGAATTCTGAATCTGACAAAAATTTACTATTCACGAAATTCACTATTCACATGAATAGTAACTTTGTAGAAAACTGATAGAATTTACCAACTAAATACTTGATACAAATGGTTGTACAGGCTACCTTTATTTATAGGAGAGGTTAGTAAATGAGCTACGCATTCACCGCCTAAACATGCTGTTTTTGTTGAGTTTCTTTGCCAACCTTTGAATTGCTTTGCCAACTTTTGTTGACTTTTCCCTTTCTTTCAAAGAACACGTTTTCCTTCTTTTTTTTTCCTTTTAAGAACACGTTTTCCTTCTTTTTTTTTCCTTTTTCAAAAGTGTATGGGTCCCACATGTAGGAGGGACCCACAACAATTCTCCCCCTCCCGACGACATGGTGGGACTCTCCATTCCTGTCGCTTTAACACACCTCAGACTTCTCCTTTTGCCTCTGTTATTGACAGAGCAACACACTTCTGTAATCTTGACTTCCACGACACAGCTCCCCCTGCAAATGTGATTGGATATCTTGAAAATCCATTTCACTGCAGTCCAATGTTCTTTTCCAGGATTTGAAAGAAATCGACTCACTGGCATTTTGAAAGAAATTCGGACTCCACTACTCCAAGTTGAGGTGAGAATATCTGGCCCCGTGCCACCAAATCATGGCACTTCATTCACCGCTTTTCAAACGCTATGAAGCGATATGGAACATTTATCCTTTTCTTCCTATCTATCCAGCCCTCATTAGAAGGGCCACTTTTTTCCTTTTCTTCCTTCTATCCATCCATAGAAGGGCACTGTTTAGAACTCAATTTAAAGTGATTAGTAAGAGGACAACTAATCGCTTTAGCGTTTTCCATTCCAAACCTTTGAAGTACTGTCTTAATGTACTTTCTCAATGTACTTCTCCTATGACAACCATAATTTCTTGGCTCTTCGATCTTGATGCCAAGAATTTGCTTTGCTGGTCCCCAGTCTTTCAAAGCAAAAGACCTACATAGCTGTTTCTTCAAGCTAGAATTCTGACCAACAATCAACATATCAACAACATGGAGCAAAAACAATGTAGTCATCATTAGAGAATTTCTTTACAAAAACACAGTGATCTAAAGTAGTCTTTCTATAGCCTTGCTCCCCATAATAGACTCAAACTTCTTGTACCACTCTACCACCGTGTCTTTAGTCAGTCTTTGACATTCACCCAGCCTCTACGTACCACCACAACTCTCCCTCTGAGTTTGATAAACACACACAATCCTTCTTTTTCTACGAAACCCTCTGGACTCCTCCTATGTATTATCTTTCTTCTTTCAAATCTCCATGTAAGAAGTTGTCTTTCCATCCATTGCTCCCTTGTTCAGTTCAAAACTAGCCGGCCATTCCGAGCCACTGTTTCAATGACCGATGCTTCATTTTCACCAGCTAGTGACAAGTTATCAAAATCAATACCCTTTCTTTGCATTGAATCCTTTCCACTACGTCTATTCTTTGAATCGCTTGGTTGAGCTGATCTAGTTCTTTCCCCTTCGTCCCCTTTGATCCTGACAACACCTCCACTTGTTCATCTTCAAAGCCTTTCTTGCCTATCTTGTGAAACAAACCCACACCGCTATCACCCAGTGCTCAACCCGTTTCATCCTCATTGCAAAGGGCACTTCGCAGTTCATCTTGCATTGGCTTCAATCCAAACGTTCCTCTCGTGGGTTCATTCCCATAGCTTCTTCAAAGCCTTCGAGGTTCTCCCTCATTGTCAGATCGGTTAGAGTTACATACTCTTCATTGAAAACTGCGGATATGCTAGTGTAGTGATGGTTGTCATTAATCAAGAATTGCTACTAGACCTTTCTGATGTATGAATTACATACTCATTGACTGGATATCTAGTAGATGGTTGTCAGATTCTACTAGATCTTCTTAATGTTTGAGAACCTTCCGGTGCTGGTGATTGAACATGAATACCATAATCTTCATCTGGTTCATTCTGATCAGGAACTTCTGGATTTTCTAACTCTAGCACTTGTTCTTGTGTAACATTTTCTTCATCTCTAATTTGTCTGCGTTCTATTGAAGGGACTTTCTGTATGTCTGTTGAGTCTTCATCAGATCTATTGGCACTCTGCTTCAACATCTTCAATGGTCTAATCTTCAACAAATACAGCATCACGATTTCTTATAATCGTCTTATGGATTGGGTCATAAAACCTATAGCCACATTAGTCTTGGCCCTAGCCAATGTACACACCGTCTAGTCTTGACATGAATTTACCAACCAAAGGCTCTGTAAAACTTTTTATAGAGGAAATTATGTCTGATAATGGATGGACCCAACCAGTATCCACAAAAAAAAAAAAAAAAAAAAAAAAGGAAATATTCCGGTAACCTAGTTTCTTCTTTGTCCATTCAATATGCTTGTAATATTATGGTAGAGCAGCAGCAATGGCTAGGGATACAAATTAAGCTTTTCCAAAGTGTTACCGAACTTATCAAGATAAAGTTATTATCAAAATTAGCTTATATCATTTGCTGAACTTCATAGGAATATTCACCTGACCAAGCTAATTGGCCTGATGTATATTTCTTATTAAAAGACTAATAAACCTTTAACGATGAAACACGATTTTCCAGATTCTTAACCAAGCTTTTCACAATGGATTTGACTAAACCTCGCAGTCTTCAAAACCGGGGCATTTGCGATTCTAAGGAGACAAAGGTGGAAGGCTTTTGAGAGTATTTAAAAAAAAAAAAAAAAAAAAAAAAAAGGAAAATCGGGAAATTATTCCCGTACTAGTTTCTTTGTCATTCAATATGCTTGTAATATTATGGTAGAGCAGCAGCAATGGCTAGGGATACAAATTAAGCTTTTCCCAAAGTGTAAGAACTTATCAAGATAAAGTTATTATCAAATAGCTATATCATTCTGCTGAACTTCATAGAATATCACCTGAACCAAGCTAATGGCCCTATGTTTTTCCTTATTAAAGACTAATAACCTATTAAACATGAACAACGATTTTCCAGATCTTAACCAAGCTTTTCAAATGGATTGGACTAAACCTTCGCTAGTCCTAAAACCGGGGCCATTTGCGATCTAAAGGAGAAAAGGTGGAGGCTTTTGAGATATTTATCCTTATGCGATTTGATTTAGAGACAAGTCAGAATTACCAGGCATAGTAGTAAACGTCTATATTGAGTTCAAAAGTTACAAGAATTTTAGATTCTAATAGCTAGAATTATGAAAATGAAACTAGCTACCTGACCTGTGCTAGCAAATATATCTGAAAGCAAAACTTAAAGCCAGATTCTAATTTTATTCCTAGAGCATCCATATCCTATAATATTTTCTATATAGATTCACCAAGTCAAAATGGGTTCATAAAGTTCATGTCATAAATACAAAAACAAAGATTTAATTTTTCTAGTGTTGCAACAACTAGTTTGTTTCACTAACAATATATTCAAATATATCACATTTTAACAAGCTCAAAGGCAAAAAATTCCAAACAGATAATAAAGAAACCATACCACATTATGGATATGGATCTGCGTTGGATTCATTGGGACATGTTCTGCTCTTTTAACACCTACACCAAGAAAGAAAAAACATATGAACCTCAAAAAATCCTTCAATTAAAATCAACAAAAATGAGAAGGAATAAAATAAAGAAAGAAAGGTCATAATACGGAAAAGTAAATAAAGTGAGAAAATGGGGTAGAATAATATATTTTAATGTTCCGGCAAGAAATTCCGGTCAAATGCATCTGATTTTAAAACATTTATCGATTGAAACAGTTAACTGATAAAAAATAAGTTGTTACACATAAACAGAAAAATGCACAATTCATACACTAAAATTATAATTATCCAAAATATAAATAGAAAACAAGAAAAAGAAGAAATCGTTTACCATCAAAATCCAACTCAGTAACAGTCTGCAATTTCCACCCATTGCCATAATCTACAAGAGCCGCATCAGGCCCAAAACTTATGGGTTCCTCTCCATCGTTAAATGCTTCAATATGAGAAACAAGAGGAGACCCAATTTCTATCTTCCTGTTAATCAGAGACACAGCAAAACCCGACTTGGTACCCGCCGCAAAGCGACTAGTTTTATTCAAGCTTTTACATTTGACCTCCAGAAACTGTTAGATGCAGCAAATATTCAATAAGATCATCATACAGGTGATTCACTAATTAATACAGATATATATAAACACACTGGAGAGAGATCTGGAGAATACAGGTGGTGGCAGTGGAGAATTGACTGCGGAATCTTCTTTTTCTTCCGCTAATCCCATTAGCGATGAAACTGAAAGTAGAGAGGACCTTTTCTTTTCTGATTTCAATTCTTATGGGTTTTATAAATGGGCCGCGAGTGTCTTTAGTTTTGGGTTTCAATATCTAAATATATAAGAATTAATGGGCTACTTTAATTTTTCAGATTTTTATAAATAGGAATTAAAAATATTAAATGAATCTTCTCATAATTTCACTCCCATAATATTTTAATTGATTCTATTTATTTAGCAAAAATTAAAAAGAAAAAAATTTCCCCTCTTGGGTTATCAAATGATTAAATTAGGTAATTTATTTAGTTAAAGTGTTTAAATAGATATAATTTCAAAAGTTAAAATGTTTAATAGATAAAAATAAATTAGTGAATTTATGTGACAGCGTTCATTCCACTGAAAGGAAACACAAATGATCAATAATCATTTGGCCATTAGTATGAAAAGATATTGGGTATGAACTGATAAGTTTATTAATTTACATGTGACACAGATAAAAATTAGTAGCCAATGAACTCCCACAAAGTGCTGGAAGTAACTTCTATACAGCAAAGCAAATCAAGAAGACTAATTTTAATATGTATACATGGAAATTTCACTGATTAGAAATATGCCATAACATCATGATTAAGAAGAGAAGTACAACACAAAAAGGGCAGAGATAAGTGCAAATGTACCCATAAGATAATTGCCAAGATCTATGGATTTCAACAATTACATAATTGAGATCTCATTTCATCTCAGTGGAAGACAGAATGAGAAGATTTAATTCCTAATCTTGCAACAAGACTTTAAAATTATCGTGTATCCCAATCCTTCAACTTCTTGCTTCCTTTGGGCTTAGCTATTGGTGCATTCATTCCAGCCATTTTTGCGTTGTATTTTGCACGAAGTTGATCATTGTACGTCCAACTGCAAAACAAACAGATGATAAGAGATTGTCCCAAGAATTCAAATATATTGCGAATTTAAGTATCAGGATTTAGTGTCTTCTGTTTTTGATCATGCAAATATCTTCACAAAGACAAATTTCGACACATTGCAAAAATAGCTTTGCTAGCATACCAAAAGATTTATAAATCATATCCCAATGGCTAGTACCATCACTACAATTGGCACCATGTCAGCAGACAATATATTTTTCTCAAATTGAGAAGACAATAATACTTTGCAAAGATGCATTTGGCCAGTCACTAAGAGTTGTATTAGATATTGCTTCAAAACCATTAATTGCTGTAAGCAACCTAAAACATGAAGCTCCTAATGAAAATTCAGTTTCATTGCAATAAAGAATTCCCTGACTCCTAAATTTTCAATACAAACATCAAGGATAATCAAACTTGAGAAAAGTTATCGATTTGTCTAAATATGCCAACAACTCTAGTTCCCTGAAAGAAAGAAAAAAGGGTACAAGTTATTCACACTATATCATTCTTCATAGATGATTCAACAACTAGAGCCCTGATTTAAATATTGATTTACGTTATTATTATTATTTTTATGTATTAAGATTTAACAATACCACTAAACCCCAAGTTAAATGGTTCCCATTCACAAAAATACACAATAACTCCCAATTAGACAATAGCATCAGGAAAGTGCAAACTACCAAATTCTATTTCTTCCTACATTTACTACCAATCTTAAAAGTGAAAAAAGATCAATAACAGAGAGATCAATGCTATGAGAACAGCAAATTGCAGCAAGGAACGTAAAAACAACAGTAACAATCAATAATTAGCAGGGAGAAGCAAACTTACGGAGTATTCCAATCAGTAGTATCCTCATTGACAAGATGTGTCCATTTTGTTCTTCCACTACGACCAAAGTGTTTGACTTGCATGACCTTAGGTAAGATGGATTTATCCATCTTATCTTCTCCAGTAGGGGCTGAGAAATCGCGGTTGTAAATATCATCTGACCCAGCAGTAGCAGCACGGTCATCAGACTCATTCTGGAAGAAAGCACCCTTGTGATAGTATTTCTGCATAAACCTCCACTTCTGCTTAGGTGGAGGAGCAGGCTTTGGATTTTTCCTCTCCCACTCCCTCCTCTCCTCTTCTGTCATGTTTCTCACCTTCTCAATTTCTTCCTTCTCCTTCAACATTGCCTCACGGTCCTCTCTATCCCTCTTGATCCTAGCAATCTCCCTTACCTTCCAAGCCTCATACTCCTCTGCCTCATTGACTTCATCATCAGTATCCACATCAGCAATACTTGCTTCCATTTCCAAATTCTTCTGAATAAGTTCATCCTTCTGAATCTCTTCAACCAATATTTGCTTTGTCTCCACCTTTCTCTCCTCCAATTTCCTCTTTGCTTTCTCCTCAAGAGCTTGCTCTTCAGCCTCAAGCCGCTCACGCTCAGCTATGGTTTCTCTCTCAGACTTTGGAACAAATATAGGTTTCACCATTGCCATACCTGTCATTTCTTCATCAGAATCAGTCTCATACTCAGATTCCTCTTCCTCCTCTTCCTCTGGTTCTTCCTCTTCTTCCTCAGCAGGAAGTGCAGCTTCTTCTTGCTCTCTAAGACGTGATTTCTCCTTAATCCTTCTTCTTCTTTCCTCCAAAGCTTCCTCATTCTCTTCCTCCATATCTGCCCATTCTTGTCTCTGAGTTTCCTCCTCTTCTGTTGCAATTATCTCAGCCTGCCGAATACGGCGATGATCAGCTCTCACTTCATCACGATTATCAATCTTGCTCTCAGCCAGACGACGCAACCTAGGATCATCTTTCCTTGCAATATCAGAATCTTCCTTAGTAGGAAAAGCTTTCTCTAGGGCGTCAGCCCTCGCCATCTTGATGTCCCCATCTTCATCAGCGTCATCTGCCCATTCAGGAGCTTTTCCAGGCCAATACCTTTTGACTTTTGTTTGCCCAATTTTACCTCTAAGCTTATCCCTGACAGCCAGTGCAACATCACTGACACCTGCTGTGACCGACATGGCTATGTGTAATACAAGCCAACGACACAAATTCCTGTTTAAACTTCAACCCAAGATTATGTGTATGCACCCCTGATATATAAAAAAAAAAAATCCTTAATATAAATTAGGACAAGATAATAGATTTAAAATCTCAGGATCAACCGAAATGAACAATCGCCTTCAAACTCAAATGACCCTTCCACAGAAATGAAAGACAAGAAAAACCAAACAAAATTCAAAAATTAAAGCTTTCGAAACAACTTAAAACTCAACAAAATATCGAAGAAAAGACAATACAAATACAAATACGCAATAACAATGGCTATTAACAAAACCGAATTCTTAAACCCTAAAATAATAAGGAATACATAAGAAACAGTAATTGCTTATAAACCGAAATCCTAGAAACTAGAAGAATATTGAATTTCTGAGAATAATAAAGTGGAAGTTTGTGATTAGGTTAACGCTGATTCAATTACCAGAATATGATATATATCCTTCGAGAGGCGAAAGCCACAGAGAATCGCAGAACAGCAGAAGCGGAGAGTTTTCTAACAAGGAAGAAAGCAAGTCACGTGCAGATCAGGTTCTTAAAACCCGAATGTGTGCAATATTATATACTTTAATTGGTGGGTACGGACTACGGCCCCACTTCGGATCCGGATCCGCAATTCATTTATTTTTTTGGATTAGCACTAATTAGGTTTGGATTGGGATAATTGTAAGGATTTTTCCTTTTTTTTTTTTTTTCTTGAAATGGGGACTATTATAAGAATAAATAAATGAATTGGAACAGATGAATTTTAACCTGTTAAAGAAAATTTTTTCATGTTGTTTGGGACAATATAAAATCTTTTGCTTTGATTTGGAGTAATACTTTCCACTTCACAGACAAAATTCTAGAGTTAATTTATTATTAACAATCTCAGAGGTAATTTCAAGAATTTGAAGGTGAATTACATCTTCGAGTAAACTTTACTCGTAAGGTTGGAAATTCGAAATCTAAAAACCAAAACCAAGTTAAGTGCAGGGGTTCAAAAATAAAATAAAATAAAACAAAAACGATGGGGAAGAGATATTCAACTGCGATCACATGGCATATAACAAAATGAAGCAAATTAAATGTAAATATTTTGCTAAACTCAACTACTAGCAAACGTTTCCAACATCATCACAGAACTGAATTGATTCACAGGACAAAATAATGGAAGACATTGTGAGGAATCATCTTCCAATAACTACAAAGTGTCACAGAATTGATCCAACGCTCTTCAACATATTTAGATATTGCAACCAAGGCTGCTGCTACTTTCTTCAGCCAAATGATACAATAAGGAAACCCTTATAGATGCTCATGAACTTGGCTACAAAAGCTGCAAAATTAATCAAGACAAGCACCATCAGACAGCATGCATGTCATCAACAAGATACAAGAGAACATTTCATTTCTAAGCATATGATAACAAAGATATTCTAGCTCTGTTCTGTATATATATATATCAAATACCAAAGGCCAAAATTTGCAAGTAAACAATTGAGCAAGTCTGAGATGTGAAGATTCAGATTATATGCATATTGGACTTCAGAATGCTTTGCAGGAAAAAAACGACAACATTGGTTCAGGATGAAATGAATGAGTAATTGATGGCCAGTGATCCATAAAGAAAACTAAAGTTGGTGCAGCTCAATTACACCATCAGTCATTAATGACTAATATTATTATCATGCAATCCTCTTCCTCTAAATGAGAGAAAATGCAGATCTTTGTTACATGCACCTATGCTTTGTTGAGTGAATCAAACACAAACCTTTTTCTACAATCCAACCATTCTAATTAGAAGAAGCAATTAGCACAGGTCAAAAACTCATCATAAAGGCAGAGTTATCAAACCCATACATCTTTGTTCATGTTTATTTAAAGACTCCTAATGCATGTAGAGACAGCAGAATTGTAAAACTGACAGTTTGGTTTTCTGTTTCTATTTTACTTATTTATTTCCACTGTACCCCAGAACTGAAAATCACAGAGTCCGCTGAAGATAAGGACACGATTTATTTTAACACAAATATTTTCCAATGATATAATTTGATCATCAACATGCTTCCGCATGCTGTTCTGGCTTCCGAGCTGAATGAGTCCAGACCAGTATACAGTAAATACCATTGTGCAAATTATGGGTGTCATGAGTAATTTATAGCTGATAGAATGGGTTCCTTATTAAATGTTAGAAAAAAGAATATAATGCATGAAAGAGGACCTCAGTGAAAATCAACAAGTTGCAGTGAAAATCCAGGGTGAAAGACAGAAGGCCTCATGCACGTATTTGTTTTGTTATAAGTTCTGTGAAATCTAACATTTCAACAAACGTTTCTTGACATGCAAAATGAAGTGAGAAGTGTGTTCCAATCTTCATGTATTTCATGTAAGAATTGAAGCAAAACATGGCATTAATTTTATATTTGTAGCATTGATTCTCTCACAATAGTTTCCAGTAAGAATTAGGTACCTTCAAGGTGGAAAATGGCTTTTTGTCCAAGACGCATCCTATGTTCCTGCAGCAGAACAGTACATTATACAACCAAAGTAAAAATAGAGCTATAAATAGAATGCTCTTTGCACCTACGACAATATCCTGTGACAAATGCAATGAGCACAATTGATAGAGGCTATTTTAGCTGCTGATTTTTTACAAAGCTAGATGGAAGATGTCATTCTCAAAATTTAAATATAAACTTACTTTCACCAAGATCCTTATACACTTACTATCATAGACTTCTGAGTCATCCTACAATGAATTATAAATTTCTACCAGGAAAAAGAAACACTTGTAATGCTCGCAGCACACGAAGAATAATCACTGGTAACCAAACCCATAACCTGACTGGAAGCTGCGCAAATAGCCCAAAATATTTCTTGCCAACGCGAGAAACCAAACAATAACACAAGTCATATTTTAAGGTATATTCTTTTGTGTCTGTGCACAATCTTTGATAGTATGTTAGCCAATCAACAAAAAATAGCATAATTCAGATAAATATCTTTAGAATGCATAGTTTATTTATATGCATCAATAATACAGGCTAAAAAAGGTTAGAAGCAAACCTCCGGACGAGATTTACCAAAGCGAGAATGGAATGACTATTTTGACAAATGCACATTAAAAAATTACATGAACTTACATAATAAGCTGCCCAATGGGAGAGCTCATGCTTTAATTCCTCATCCAATTTCTTCAATAATTCGTAAAGCAGCCTCTGATGAAGAGGCAAAAGTGAAGTTTAATATATTGAAAGTGAAAATGGAATTTGCAGAAGATTACATTAAAAGAGATCTTTACCTTCAAAATAATCTCTGGAGGAATACAATTAATTAGCAGTTCGTACAATTTCCCTCGAACCTGAAAAAGCCTAAAATACGCCAAAATCTTGTTTGATGAGAGGGTTTGAACAAAGAATTAGGGAAGTTAAAAGGGCATAAAACATCAAATCTTCATTTTACTATCAGACATTATAAATTATCAGATGGATAAGAACCATACTTTTTAGGACTCTGCTCCCTCATTATATCAGTAGCTATTTCAGAAACATATTCCTCCCAGTCCATTGGAGGTATTGCTTGATTACTTGTAAAAGGATACCTATTAGCCAAATGAAGAACACACGAGACCATCTTAAGAAGCATTAGACACTAAATTATCCAGCTGTGCATTCAAGAAGAAACACCACTATTAATCAGTAAAGAGTTTCTTCGGTACTTAACTGTTGGACGCGACAAGTCTCAAATGAAAGTATAGCCCTCCTTAAACTTCGATTTGATTTTTCGGCTATACGGGCAGCAAATCCAGGTGGAAGCTGCAGCCCTTCTTTCTTTCCAATTAACTCCAATACCTTGACAATCTGGACAAGGATATGAAATCATAATAAAGACATCACAGTCAGAAAATTAACCAACTGGGGCCTTTATTTTACAATAGTTTACACAACCTATCATACAATATATAAGACAACAAAGTGAAACGGACAGGTTCAAAGAGTAATGCAAATAAAAATTGTGAACACAGGCACATAAACAATGTGCTTTTGCAGTTGTACAAGCAACTAAACCCCAGCTCACCCACCTTCCTCCCCTCCCCCTCTATTTCCTTGTGGAGCCTAAAAGAAAAGAAAACTTTATTTTAAGCATTAGCATTTGATTTTCAGTGATATGCACCATTCAACTGCACTTAAATTCATCCAGGAAAAGTATGACAATCTGAGAAGACAACAAACCCTTTTCGAACCTGTTCCTCTGAAGGTGCATTTATTCGCATATTGAGACACCGTGACCTAATTGCCTCAGAAACCTTTGAAGAACTGTTACAGCATAGGATCAGCCGGCAGTAGGAACTGTACTTCTCCATAGTTCTACGAAGAGAATGTTGTGCTTCTCTTGAAAGCTTGTCAACTTCATTGAGCACTAGTACTGACATTAACAGGTAGAATATCATAAGTACGCTACTTAGCCGGCAAAGTAGAAGGTTACAATTGAATTCACATTGCAGAAGATGTAAAACTACGTATGGATTCTGAATTCTACAAAATGCAAGTTCAATTGGTATGAACGAGAGAAGATAAGGGTAGCAAGGAGAAAATCAGAATTACCTTTATATCCTTTTCTTCCTTTTGTGTCAATTGGACGATTCTTAGCCATATCTTTTATCACCTCTTGCACTACATATCTGTCCTGGAAGCCTACATCACTAGGGCTTAGCTCAATGTGATTTGTGCTTGATATTGTGGTAAGCTCCAGATCAATGGTTCTACTTCCAGCCTGAAAATTATGGAATTGTGAAAGTAAGCAATCATCCATCATTGTCATCATAATTTTAGCCATCACTTCTATTAACCTATTAATGCCAAAATTTGCCACAAATTTATGTTGAATTCACAATTGGAACTGATGTATTGGCATGCCAAACGCAAAATTTAAGAACTTTCTGATAAGTTATACTTTTGCATAAATTTATTTTAACCCATTAAAAAGATAAAATGTAAGAGAAAAGTGCATCCAACAAAACATTAACCACCAGAGATACACCTTAATCCATATGATAAAAAATTTTAAAATTAACGTATACATATACTTTAGAAAGATTAATAGTAAATTAAAGTGGATAAAAAAAGAGAAAAAAAAAATACTTACATCGACTTTCCATGTCCTATTTTCTACCTTCACCTGGAATAAAACAGCATGTCAGCTTTAATTTGTTGGAACACTATTATATAATGCTAAAACAATATCTTTTCGCCAATTACCTAAGCAAAGAAAAAAGCCTTTGCAAATTAATCCAATTGCTAAATTTTTATAGCCCAAAAAACATTTTTTTTTTTTTTTTAAGTACACTCCATATTTTTCCTTAGTTTTCTCAACAACCAAGAGGGGCAACAGGTGAGTAGTAAAGACCTTTTCAGCGCTAGCACCGAAAATCTGACGAAGGAGGGCCATGATTAGTGTTTTCTTGCCAGAACCAGAGGGGCCATAGAAAAGCAAATGTGGACAGTCTTGTTCAGTGACCTTAAATTCAAATTAGATAGAAATTCCAGCAAAAGCATTAGAAACCCTAGAATTCACACCAGTGCAATTGCAAAGAAAGAACCGATAGACAAATCTAGTTGTGTATAGAGGAGAGAAGTACCAGCTTCTTGAGGTTTTGGGCAATGTCTTCGTGTGCAATAACCTGATCTAGGGTTTTTGGTCTGTACTTGTCCACCCACAACATCTTCTTGTTCCAAAGTGTGAGAGAGTATTTCTGATAGAGAGAGAAAGTGGCGGGAAAGACGGTGTTTCCTGAGGGAAGCGTTATATATGAGCAAGGAATCAAGGTCTTGTGGGACCCACAAGAATTTCTTTTTTTAATACACTATTTATTTATTTACTACATATGCCGATTAGGAAAAAGGAAAAAACAAAAGAGTAAAAAAAAGCAGTGAGTGTGAGCGGAGGATGATGAGGTACTAAAAATGTTTCAGAAGATGCTATCGATGGTAAGCAACGGCCGAAGTGAGGATGATGGAGGAGGTAGCCTACGATCCAATAGCTTAAAATCTGGTTGAGTTCGTGGTCGGACTTGGAGCCGGAATTATTCCACTCCGCCAACAATCTGCGAACAAATCGCCATCGCCAGTAAATTTGAGAGTCTTTAGGTCGTCTCGGGAGAGAATCAGAACGAAAGGGCGTGGAGTCATGGAGAAGAGAGTGACGAGAGAGGTTGAACTGAATGTGAAACTCATTGAACGACATAATTGATTGATGTCGTTTTCTTTCAAGTTCTACAATTTAATTTTTCATATACAATTTTTTATGGAAAAAAAATATTTTAATTTTACCCCCCATAATTAAATAAAATTATTTGGAGCCCCTAACTATTTGGGCTGGGTTTACTACTGGAAGCAGATGATTCACTTTATAAAGAACTCATAATGTTGTTTTAGGCCCAGTGAACCTTCCAAGAGAAATTTCATTAAGAAATTATCTGGAAATAGAGTACCCTAAACTGGCATTAACAAATACCCATCCTAGATGACCAACTAACAAACTATACAAGATGAACTTTCACAAGTTAATGTATTTCTGTTTAATTATAATTGAAAAATATATATCAAGATTTAGAAAGCTCACGAGAAAATTTTGATTAGTGTATGTATATATGAATATAAAGTACAAATTCCAAGGAAAAACAGCTTTGTTACAAAAACTTCAATGAAGGATGTACATAACATCTCCGAATTTAACCTTGCAATGATGTTTTCCTCTGCAGCCAAAAAGGTAGAGTTTGTCTGGTTTTTTCTACAAATCAGTCAGAAGCATCCATTCTTTCAGAAGATTTATTTCCCTTCATTTTACCGGGAAACAAGAGCTCTGCTTGGCAGAGTAGTCCTTCCAGCTTCAGCGCAGGCTTTTGGATGGTACCATGTTGCAATTAATTACTTCCTGATACAGAACTGATCAGTCAAATTTCTTTTTTTCAATGTAGAAGCTATGCATTCATGCATGCAGTTGCCTTTGTTTGCACTAATTCTTCTGCATTCCAATTTTTTTCAGAAATTTAAGGAATTGTCCTGGTGGAAACAACACGCTTTGCTAATTTCGCATGTGGTTGTAACATCGATATATACCTATTTTTCCCTGTTTTACTCTTGAAGCAAGATTCTATTTTTTGAATTTATGAATGTATACATTTATATGCATGTATTTATGAATGTATCCAGGTGAGATTGTGAAAGAGAGAAGATACAACTGTGACATACCTCAAGTTGGATAGTGTTGCAGCATCTTTACCATAACACAAAGATCAACAAGTTCCTTGTCAATGAATTAAGAAGAAAATATGATTATCAATTTAGGCTTCTCCATTCACTATAGTGCTTCCATCTTCAGTTGCAATTCCAGTGGCAACTTCACTGCTGCTTTTCTGCAGCAAGTCTTTTTTGATATTAGGCCCATCTCTAGCTGAGCTGGCTAGTCTCCTGTAAACCTTCTTTTTTGGAACTGAAGAGTCCTCTAATGTGTTACTTTTTGGAGATGTTACAACTTCTGGAGCACCAGTTTTATCCTCTGGTTTTTCAATCGTCCCTTCGGTTAAACCATCTTTTGGAGAGCTTACAGTTCTTTTAGCATTACCCTTATCAGTGGCCTTTTGTGACACACTAGTACTTTTATTGGGGTCATCTGTCTCCTGCTTTGCACTAGGTTTCTCTACAGCTGGTTCAGGGAGTAGTGCCTTACGGCTAAGGCGAAGTTGTCCCTTGTCATTTACCTGTATTAAAATCTCATGATCAGCAGAGAACTATTTTTACATGCGATGCTATTCCAGCACACAGCGTACTAGGTGCAACAATGATTTGTTCCCTACCTCAATAAGTTTAACATCTACACGGTCTCCAACTTTAAAAGCCTGTAATAAAAACAGTTGCGGAAAATTGCTCTTATGTAATGGGAGAAAATATTTTCGTAGTGACCAAAAAAAAAAAGGCAGAAAAGAAGTTGTGTACTTACATCTTCTGCCTTTGGCAGCCAGCTTGAAGTAAGTTCACTTACATGGCAAAGTCCCTGTAATAAAGTCAGAAGTTAAAGAATCTTCTAACTTGTTTGTTCTTCCCAAAATGTGCAACACAGAAAGTCCTAAATAATAATATTGTTGTTTATACAAATATGAAGAAGAATCCTTGATCTAATAATTTCAGAAGAGAACATTTAGAAATTACAGTGAATAAAAAAAAAGAGCCATGTTGATGAAAGTTTGAAATTCATTGTTTAAATAGAGACTGTTGGGGAACTTTCTGCAAAGATGTGATATCTATAAAGTTGAATTCATAAATCCCATTGTCTTTATTATTTAATATAACTTTTCCTTTGGAAAAAAATATTTATATGTTTACTTAATTAATAAACACAAATATAATAAAGAAATCAATAATTAAATGCATGGATGAATTATTATTTTCCATCTGCAGTTTACTCATGTTGGGACAAGTATATTACCTCTCGACCCGGGGCTATCTCAACAAAAACTCCGTAAGGAGCAACAGATTTGATCTCGCAGTTCCTGATTAGTTGGAAGAAAGAAACTCATGGAGTTCATGATTCTTTAATCAATCAAACAACAAATTTATTGGAAAGCGACATTCCAAAAAAATGGAAACAACTAAATGCGGACTATACATGCATATAATCATTGCTTAAAAACAGTCCCGATTAACCAATCCTTTGCTCATTGACCCTTTTCAAACCCATCTGTCATGCAATCTTTAAATGTCTTCTGAATAGGACAACTATAGCTATTTCAACCTTTTCTTTCCCTTGATCAGAATAAACTAAAAAACAACAAACAAAAATAAAATAAAATGAAGCAAACCAAGAAGATATACCTAAAGATATCACCAATAGTTGGGACCATCGTAAGATTGCTGATAATAGATTTGGACTTCTCTAGACTTGATAAATCCTTAGCAGTAATTTTTACCTGGGAAAGGCATAATAAAACTGCTGCATTAGCGATCATATCAAACAAAAACAGTCAAATATGAACTTCTTGGCTGATCTTACAATTCCATCCTCATCTGCGTCAATAGACTCTACTCCTGTTTCTTCTATAATACTCCTCACTTTCTTCCCACCAGAACCAATGATCATATTAACCTTTTCTGGATGGACCTGCAAAACAATTTTTGGGTACTCAAATTTAAGTTTCAAATGGCTAAACAATGGAAAAGGAAAAATGGGAGGTAACAAACCTTCATAACATGAATTAATGGGGCATACTTAGACAGCCTTTTAGACGGTGGAGGTGAGCATTTTAACATTTCAGCTGAAGAAAAAAATTATAGCAAAATATGATGTCAGGTGCATTTTGGCGATAAATTCTTCCAAAAAGCATGAGCGATGAGCACATTTCACTTCTACGTCAACAAGAAACTGGCAATTTTCTATATATCTTAAATATAACAGGATGCTGCCTGATATAAAGTACATGCGCCTAGAATCCAGTAGGGCTTCTGCCAGCTAAAAATATTTACCCCAGTGCTAAAAGCCCTTTTTAAACAATCCCAAACCACCATGCTTTGTTAAACATAATGCCTCCAAACTATTTTCAAAATAAATTTTGAATTCTTAAAACACGTGCTTAAGGTACCCTACCGAGAATATGTTTCCGACCATCCTTGGCCTGCAGTAGAGCCTTTTTCATAGCAGATAAAGTGATTCCTCCAACCTATCAGATCAAAAAGGAAATCATACTGGTTTATAGTTAAGGAATATGTTTTGTAACTGAACTGTTATAAGTTCCTCTAATTATTTGGCTTCTCAATAGGGATTTATTTAGAGTCAGGAAAACATTAACATGAAATGTGACTGTTAATCTGGAACAGAACATGTACATGTACAGATGATAATGACCTTTATGTCCATCTGAAATGCAGTTACTCCATCCTCATTTCCAGCAACCTGCAACGATCATTAATTTAAAAGATGAATTTTTTAAATCATGAACTGCAAAATAGAATGCTTCAGCTTCTAACTTGATAAGAATTTTAAGATCTATCAATGGAAGAATTGAGATACTAGAACAATTGCACTAATAAAAAATTACCAGTAAATATTACCTTAAAATCCATGTCTCCTGATGCATCTTCAGATCCAGTTATGTCAGACAGAATAAGTGGTGTTCCATCACCACCAAATTCTTCAGTATCAAGAACCATACCCATTGCTATCCCTGCAATTGAGCATTTTACAGGCACCCCAGCATCTTGTAATGCCAAGCAACCCCCACAGACAGAGGCCATGCTGTTTGACAATAAATCACAAGATCTAATCAAAACGTGAATCGGTTGTGCAATTTAGACAGAAAAAAAAAAAAAGGTTTTAAGCACAACGAAATACAAAACAAACATATGAAGATACTGTTGAAAAATCATATAGTACCAAAATTAACAAAAAAAAAAAGTCTTAATTTAGCTTCTGACCTTGAAGAGCCATTGCTTTCTGTGATGGTACTCTCAACTCGAATAGTGTATGGGAAATCATCTTCAGAAGGCAATATAGGTTCAAGAGCTCTCTCTGCAAGCGTTCCATGTCCAATTTCTCTTCTACTAGGTGCCCCAATTCGCCCGACTTCCCCAACACAAGATGGAGGAAATGAGTACTGGACATGAGAACACAATTCAAAAAATTGATGGTTAGTAGTTTTTTAGTCAGAAAGGGTAGTACTCAATATTAGAAAATACAAGCATATCTCTCATAAACAGACAGACGAACATAGGCCAGAAAAATAAATTTAGATGAGAAATATTAAATAATTATGACAATCAAAGAACCGGGTATTCAGGGAAGTGCCAAGGAGGCAATAGCTAAATGATGCAGGATTCTAAGTGAAAAACTAGACAAGCCAAAGTGTGACATCCCAGGTTTGGGGCACAACACCTTAGGCGAATCCCACATCAAGGGTGGCAACCTTGAACTAGTGTGACGCGTTGTTTTAAAGCACAAACGATAAAAAAACAAAACATATGAAGAACTGTTGAATCACTATAGTACCAAAATTAACAAAAAAAAAACAAGTCTTCAATTAGCTTCTGACGCATTAGAAGAAGCCATTGCTTTCTGTGATGGTACTTCTCAAACTCGAATAGTTGTATGGAATCATTCCTTTCAGAAGGCAATAAGTAGGTCCAAGAGCTCATCTCCATGCCAAGCGTTTCATGTCCCAATTTCTCTTCAATACTAGGGCCCCATTCGCCCCGAACTTCCCCAACACAAGATCAGGAGGAAATGAAGTACTGGACATAGCGACACCAATTCAAAAAATTGTAATGTTTGAGTAGCTTTTTAGTCAGAAAGGGTAGTAAACTCAATATTAGAAAGAATACAAGATATTCTCTCATAAACAGACAGAGAACATCAGGCCAGAACACAATACAATTTAGATTGAGAAATATTAAATAATTACTGACAATCAACGAAACGGTATTTCAGGGAAGTGCCAAGGAGGCAATAGCGCTAGAATGATTGCAGCGGATTCTAAGTGGAAAACTTAGACAAGCCAAAAGTGTGACCATCCGAGGGTTTGCTCGGGCAACACCTGTTAAGCGCGAATCCCACATCAAGCAGGTGGCAAACCCATATAGAACTAGTGTTTGACGCGGTTTTGGGCTGGACAGGAGTCGGCCCCGGAACAAACGAACAAACTACCCAGGTTTCGCCTGGCCCAGGAAACAAAACCGTCAGGGTTCAGGCCAGGTTTGGGCAACACCAAAGCGGACAATATCACACATAGGGAGCTGGACCTGTTACAGATCTTGGTTATCAGAGGGCCCAAGCCTTGTCCTCTGGCCGGTAGGTGGGAGCAAACACTCAGCGCAGGACGCTGATAAAGTCCCTAAGGGGGTGGTGTATGTGACACCCAGGTTTTGGGGACAACCCTTAGGCGCAATCCACATCGCTACGCACCAAGGCTGAAAGTCCTATACATAAAGGTGAGCAAACCTTAATAGTGTAGACGACGTTTTGGGCTGGCAGGAGCGGAGGATTTTCCCTGGGCCCAGAAAAGGAACACAAAAACCGCTCGAGGGTTCAGGCAGCGGAGGTTTCCCTGGCCCAGAAACAAAACCGTGAGGGTTCAGGCCAGGTTTGGCACCCAAAGCGGACAATATCACACTAGGGCTGGGCTGTTACACAAAGTCCAGCTATATATTGACTTGAGTAAGCAGAAAGAATACATTTTGATAATTTTGTCTTTTTTTTTTTTTTTTATTAAGTCAACATTCATATGGCTCATATGATCCCCTAAGATGAATATAACCTCCCATAGCCAAGGAATTATGTATTTTTCAGAAAAAGCTAGAGGAAGATTCTTTAAAGCAGAGAATTTGCCTTCATAAAATGATTTCAGGGATCTAGTTCTTCCAATCTGCATCACAAGAGGGTAAAATAGGAATTTTAATAGTTTATGCTCAATAATATGTCACAACAAAAATAGTTGACCATGAAAGAGAGCTTTAGGAGTGTCAAAATAAATCAACAACTATCTAAAGCTTTTGTTAATCATAGGTAATACCCAAGAAAAAACTAACTCCTACTCTTAAAAGTAGAGGTGTGCAAAACCACTGATCAACCAAAAACCGAACCAACCCAATTCCATTCGGTCAGTCTGCTTACAAGGAAGTTCATTATTGGTTTCACTTTTAGTTTTTTCGATTTGACTTTTCCCTCTTTGGTTCGGTTTAAACCGAACCAACCATTTGCTAACCCCTACCTAAAAGAACAAGGAGAGAGAGAGAGATAATGAAGCACAACTGAAACTGTCAAGATTGTTATTTTACAAATCATATATAATGGAAATAACGAAGTACGTGACCAATTGAAGGATACACAGTTTTGAGTTTCGAGATAAAAGGACAAAAATTGATAAATCCAGAGAATAAACAAATCATCTTGCAGACCAAACTCACAACTGTGAACAGTAAAACCACAAATTGGTTCCTATAGGTAACTGCATCCAGCAACTAAATAATCATATAAAAAACAAAATCATCTCAAATAGACCTGAAGATAGAACCTCTTGAATTCATCCACATCGACAAGGTTGTCCACTCTTTGTGCCATTTGTTTATCACCAAGTGTGACCACTGCTAGTGACTGTAAAAAGGAAAAACAATTTATAATAGATAAACATGCACAAGGAATATGATAATGATATTGTATGCAAATATAACCGTGTGTTAGACAATGTCACCCAAACACCGTGGTTTTGACTCGATGAATATGCTAAAGGAGATACCGGAACATTCACCTCATCAACACTTGCACTCATCAGCAAATAATGTGATTGTCAATCATGCCAATTCATGAAAATGAGCTTGAAAAAATACACATGCAAAGACAATAAACTACTTCAACCCAAGTAATCAGGCGCATCCAGAAACATTTTCAACAACATTAAATGCAGTATGCCACCTGGGGTTTCTCTTTGGGAATCTTATTCAAACCTGTGTTTCTCCACGGGTGAAAAGAACACTTCCATGGGCCCTAGGGAGTAATCCACATCTTGAGTTAATTGGACGTATGCCATCTGGCATTCGCCCATCACTTCTTTTTCCTCCCTACAGCAATTTCAATGTAAAATGACATAAGATATGAAAATGATTTGCATCATTAACATCTGCTGACAAATGACAAATACCCAAGACTATAAAAGGATATTCTTCCCACAGTAAATCATATCCGTATTAAGTTCACATAGTTGGAACCACATTTGTATATAAGGATATATTTAAAATACAAGATACACCACTACATTCAAAATGGCAGTAAACTCAAGATGAAACAAAATAAATTTTTGAATAGCATAATAAGATGCATCTCTTGGATGAGGAAGTCAAGAATTACTTTATGTTTATTAATTGAGGCTTTTTCTAGTATATTTTCTAACTTAAGGAGCTTAATTTTAGTTAGGAAATTGTTTAAGAGTTTATTTTCTTCCTATTTAAAAATATTAGGATTAGCATAATTTAGCATTTCCTTTTTATTTATATAAGACGCAGCCCTCCATATGCAATTTTGTGTTTTAGGTTGAATAAAGATTTGGAGATTAGAACCTAGTTTTCTACATGAACTAGCGGAACTAGCTCTTGAAACAGATTCCATTTGTATTGAGCAAAATGTAAAAATCTTGTCATCCAGAAAAGTATTTACAAAGTTCAGGTAGGATAGACCATTGCATTTTTTTAGTCAGATAGGAATCTCACATTCACATAGAAAATCAAAGGGAATGGAATTGTACCAAAATCATTATTCTTCCCACTTTCACCCTGTTTGGCTTAAAATTAACGACAAAGGAACAAAGAATTGAGGAATTATATTTAGATGTTTGCCTCCTAAATTAGGTTATATGTTGAAGGGAAACTAGCGCGAAGAATATTAGTAAAACATGAAGGAAAGGGGTACAATTCTTTTAAAAAAAATAAAAAATAAAAAAACATTACAATGCAGGTCCTAGGTTTGAACCCCGGACCAACCTTAACCATTTGCCCCTTGAGTTTGATGTCAAAAGCTTTGCCCCCTCAATTTAAATTGCTGGCTTCACCCCATGCTCCACTTATCTCTTTCTTTCTCTACTTAAATAAGCAATAGAAAATAAATATAAAATTCCCTTCCCTGCATTTCTCTTTTATGTTTCACTTCTGCCTCTTACAACATGGCAAAATCCACTGGAAACATAATAGATATAGAAACACCTGAAAAGGGACAGCAGCCCGACATACCTCTACAATTCGTCTCCGCAGGAACTTTGATGTAACTTCTTTGAATACCAGTTTCACGTCTACCTCAGAATACAGCTAAAAGAGAACCAAAATAATGTGTCAAAAGTCTTGGTGAAAAAGAATACAGGTAGAAAAATTACAAACAAGAGAAAGCACTCAAATTAAGTTGAGACTAACCAAGGGAGAGGATTTACGTGAAATTGGCTTTATGTGGACATCACCTTCATCTACCTCACCATCCACAACAACTTCCTCATCCTCATCTTCTTCCTCAAGCAAATCTGCAACTGTTTCAGTGGTTCCAAAACTAATATCCTTGCTTACATATCCCTTTTCTGTAAGTATACCAATAACTTTTTCTTCCAACGATGTGAGGGCCTTTCTTCTTGGTATTTTGTTTCTAATTTGTAGAACATTCAATATCTCATCACCAGCAATTTCCTGAAAAAGACAAATAACAAATATTATCATCCATTATTACTTAGATGTTAACAGTTAACTGTACTCAGGTGACAAATCTGGCACAAAAAAGAATAGAGAACAATTTCAAAGGTGGTAAAAGGACAGTAAATCCTGGTTAGCGAGAATTATAAGCCGTGAATCACTGGATCGCATAACTGGGGCAACTCAACCTGCTAATGCAAACAGGTCTTTTCAATCAGTAAATAACGTCAAAGCTTTCACGGTAATGTCAAAGTACATTTTTAGCTTATTGTATCATCTAATTTCTAGTGGTCACGTGAACCACAACAAAGTGGAATGCACTTCTGAAGCCGTGAAATATCATCAACTGCAATCTCTTGATGACTAAATACTTGAGAAAATATCTCAAGATGAAAGCCCATATGTAAACCTCTGCAACAATAATAGAGACAGAACACAAAACCGATCTCTCTGTTATTGCTTAGCAGTTAGCACCTTCAATATCCTACATAATTTTGATAATTCAAAACACCAACAATGCCTTTTCCATCACATAAAAATATTTCCTATTTCACTATTAAAGAGGTAAATAATCCTTGCAACAGCTCTTTGTACTTCAGAAGTAACTCATGTACGATCTTTAACCCATAAAAAAGGCATAACCATCAATTGGAAGATACTCATAATTAGCCCGTGCAAACGATCAGTTTGGTTCAAAACCAAACCAAACCAAACCAGACATACCAAAAATTTCAGTTTTTAAAAGTTTAAATGGAATCAAATAACTGAACCAAACCAAAACAGTTTGGTTCAGTTCAGTTTCTCAGTTTTTGGGGTTTTAAATTTTAATTTTTAAGTTGTACATTTTCATAATAAAAATTGAACTGAACTTTAAAAAAAATTGTAATTCTCTATATTAAAATAGAAAACTAAACCACAACTCTTAAAAACCAAACCCGGTCAGTTTCTGCTCAGCCTTACTCATAATTAGTAACAGAAGCTGGACACATTCAATAAACAGGGATGACAGAAACCATACCTCCACATGCTTAAATAGCTCAGGAGGAGGTAATTTGATTGCATCAAGCATTTTTGGTTTCCCACACTTCTTCACCAATGACTCCACCTCATTGCAAATAGCCCGTACTGCATCCTGACTTTAGAGAACAGGCAAGAAGTTAAGCATCTAAATTGAATTACAACAAAAACGAAAATGCTAAAGTTCGCCAGCAAATAAAAGGAAAATTATTCTTTCAAAAAAAAGTAGGAGGCAAAAGATGATAACATATTACATACGGATAATATTTTTTGCATCTATATTATTTATATCATAACTTACGTTGTATTTCCAGCAATATAACTCATAATAAAGATCAGGAACAACGTTTAAATATTATAAATCTATAATACAAATGTCTATAATGAACAATTAACTTACTGCGACTCTTGCACATCAAGAAAGCAAACCATCGTCAAATAATTGACACGATTATTTCTTTGTCTTGTATATGAATTGCTAGTTCATATAGTCATGCTAACTTCATAAAAATTTATTTTGCTCATCAAATGGCACCTTAATTTTAATTAATTTTTTCCAAAGAAAGAAAGATGTGCGACCACCTACAGCTTAATGAATATTGCATGAAGACAACCAAAAAAAATACAGGTCATATAGACTTCACGTCTGCACAAGAAACAAAATAACAGAGATTTTGACATCAATTATAAAATGAAAGATAAGAAAAAATACTTAGCAATAAACAACCTGCCCAACTTGTACTGCTTCTAGCAACTTTTCTTCTGGGAGGAAATCACAATAACCCTGCAAGGGACCAAGATAGTCAATATTAAAGGAAAATTTATCATACAAAACAAAAAGATCGTTGACAGTAACTCTTTTATAAGCATTTCGAACCACTGACAAATTGTCAATATAGACATGCACTTTGAAATTGATTTAGTAAACAAGTTGTATTTATTTTGTATATCAATTAATTACTCTCCAAATATAAGTAAGGTATTCTCATAATTTTTTTTTTTTTTTTTTGAATATACGAGTACGGAAGGGGGAAAAAAATATTCCATAAATTATTGGGAAACATAAAGAAAGCATATGTAAAAAGCACCAAACAGAGAATTCACCAGCTGACACTTACCCATGACCATAAAAACAAATTACGAACGGACTCTAATACTTGTTCTTCTTTTGTAGACCCAAGTTGTGTGGAGTTGGGTAAGTTGAAGATGGTACAATATGACTAATAACAATTATGATGTAAAAACTTGCAGTGCAGACAATCAGAGTAGAAGGCTGACCTCTATCATCAATATTGCACTGTCTGTGCCTGCCAGCAATAGATCCAACTCCGACTCTTCCATCTCCTTGGTTGTTGGGTTCACAATAAACCTATCACCAACAAGGCCAACTCGAACTCCTGCAATTGCTTGTGTAGTTGGCACTTCTGAAAGAGCTCTGTGGTATTTAACTGTAAGAATAAAAAGTATATGCATCTACTGAAGCATTAGAAAAAGTACTATATTTATGATTAAACTTACACTGCTATTCCAGCTGCTGTAACTGCTAAGGAATCAGGAGAATGCAAACCGTCATAGCTCAAAACCTGTGTGGAGGAGGTGACAGTAGTACTTAACAAGTTGAAAAATGAAAACAAATTATATACGAAAATGATACAATATGTAACTGAACATAAAGGTCCAAAATGTTGGGGATCAAGTATTACATGAACATTTAGCATCATGTCAAGAACACAGATCATAACAACAGGTAAACCATGGTCACAAGCACCCCATATGCCCTTGTTTAGGCTATGAAAAATTTCAAAGCTATCTGCAAATGTAAAGCATAACTCAGGCATTTCCTTTTAATAAGCAAGCCATAAAGAAAATTTGTTGAGAAACCCAAACAGACAATGAAGGACTTCCAACAGCATAATTACTCTCAAGAGAGCTTTACATCAAGGTTTTAAAGTAACAGAATCAGAAATGGTTTTTGGAATTAAAAATGGTTTCATACTAGGGAACTGTTTAATGGAATGGGAATGAATCAGAATGTATTGGATTATATTCGTTGCCAGTATCATGAATTATTTTCAAAATTTCTGATTCAAATGAATACTAAATGAAGAATTTAACTAACATTTTCTTCGACAAGGCATATGGCTATTGCAGCCTTTATATTATGATGAGAAACAGTCGTTCAGCTAATACGGCTGCTACAACTCAGAATCTATATGATCTCAAATCACTTGTATCACAACTTGGAATATCGTATTGGGAAACTAAAATCTGACACATGACAACCAATACATAACATTTAGCCGATATTTTAAAAACCCTGCTTTACATACCAAAGGAGAATGAGAATTGTCTTTCATGAATCATATTAATGACTATTGTAAAAGAATTATGCTCATCTTATTTTACTGTAGTTAATTTATTTTATCCGATCTATTAGTTAGGGCCTATAATTTAGGAGATAATTTACATGCTCAAGATTCGCTTACAAGCCCCCTAGATGTTCAACATTTTAACAAAATGAACTTGTTCAACAAGCTTAACAATTCAAAAAGGTTATTTGTATGCCTTGTCTTCTAGAATAGTTTAATGCTCAAATCTCTTTCATACTTGTTTTGATTTTTTGAATATGATGTCCTATATTTAGGAGTTTAAATTAAAATCAAACTGCCTATACCATGTTGGAGTTATGTTTTTGAAAGTCAAAATTTTGAAAAAGAAATAATGAATGTAACTGCATAAAAATAAATTTCATACTGGTTTGTCCTACCACTTTTTTTTTTTTTACTCAAGAGGGCTATCACTTCCCACTATTGAACTTAGACCATCATCTGGTCCACTAGTAAAAGTCTTGAATTTGCAACAGTTTACAAGCTTGAGAATAGCCATCTCATACAATAATAACAACTAAGCTTTATCCCAAGCTATTTGGGTTAGCCAAAAGGATCTGCTTTTCCAATCTGCTCAATTTTTTCCATCAAGGACCTTGCTTAAATTAATTCCAGATTTCCTTTTCTAGGACCTTGCTTCAGTCAATCCATAATTGAGTGATGGCCTCGCATCTCATTCTTAAATAAGATTTTATCCAAAAATAGTGTCAAGTGTCAACTAAATAAGATTTCATTAAAGATTTTTAAAGTATTATCTTTTAGCAAACATATTGGCATACTTGTTTAAAGTCCTTCAAGTGAACTTTGATAATTCAAAGATAACAAAAACTTGTACCAAAGGAAATGAAATTCTTTGCGGAATTCACATAGAACACATCAAAGGTAGCATCTAAGTAAATCAAATGCTTCGAGATTTGATATGACTTACCCAAGATAGTATCTGAGTCTCATGGTAGAAACCCTTAGGCATAGTTGGGCGCAAAGGCCTATCAATCAATCTACAAGTGAGAACCTAGATGCAGAAAAGGGGGAAATATATAAATAGACAGACAATAACCATTTCAAAGGCACCAAGAGAAAGAATGAAATTTGCAAAATAGAAACTCCTACATTATATACAAAAGCAAAGTATCAAAACTAGATAACTTCTGTGATATCCACTCTTTATGATACTATGGAAGTAAAATAGTTTTTTCATTTACACTGATAACTTGAGTTGGCTTACTTGAACCACAAAAGTCTAGTTAATCAATTTCGTGTAGTTATTAGAACCATACAAATGAACCAAAACTCATTCTGATGTGTGTCAACTGATGGAAATCAGCAAGCAATGGTGATCATGAGGATCTCTTTCTCCAAACATAGAAGAACTAGAGCACTTGAAAAAAAAATGTTCAGCAAAAGGAGCTGATTCCAAGCAAAAATAGAGATAGATCATTGGCTGGTTAGACCATGATGGGTTTTATTAAATTCCTGATGTGACATCATCCATAAAAAAGTTTATCCAATTTTACGAGAAACTGAAATTCAACATTATGCTTCAAAATATTTTTTTTCTTTTTTTTTTTTTTTTTTTTTTTTCCATTAAAAAAGTTTATCCAATTTTACGAGAAACTGAAATTCAACATTATGCTTCAAAATATTTTTTTTCTTTTTTTTTTTTTTTTTTTGAGTTATTATTACAATAATTCATAGATAAAATAATATGATATCCAATTAACAAGAAAGCAGAGCCTTTTGAGACCTTCCTACACTGGAAGGGGGTCAGTTAGTTTTTTTTTTTTTTTTTTTTTTTTTTTTTGAGTTATATTACAATAATTCATAGATAAATAATATGATATCCAATAACAAGAAAGCAGAGCCTTTGAGACCTTCCGTACACTTGGAAGGGGGTGAGTAGTACCTCATGATCTTTTGCTCTCCCTTCTCGTTTGAAAAATCCTCCACTGGAGCAATGCAGACAAACAATATAAAATATAAGCCTTCTCCAAGTAATTGTAAGATGAATAAAAATTTGGAAAAAATGGCGTGACATACCTAGTTCGACCTGCAGCTGAAAAACGCTCTTGATAATTTACAGAAAGAGGAAAAAAATCAGAAGGCTCACTGGGAATATCATCCAAACAAACAGTTGTGTAGACAATCTACAAAAAGAAGCATCAATGGATTGGTTGAAATGAGGAACCAACCTAAGGTCATTCATAAAACCTCGAGTCAAAAATTCAACATGACAATACTGAAATCTAGCATAAAGAAGAATTGCAACAATAAAATATACAAATATTTAAAATGAAGTGCTATAAATGGAAGGACATTGTTGAAGGCTTGGAGGTTAGACCTACAAATTTTGCTTCAGTTTCCTATATTTTCAGCCCAGCCATCTTCAGCTTTGTGGGTTAAGCAATTAAATTAAGTTTACCCATTTCTATGACCTTTTGGATATTTAACATGTTTTACACTCATTCAGAAGATTTTAGCAGTCAATATGTGAAACAACCTCGCAACATATTTGAAATAAAGGACATTGAGAACTTTCAAGAATTTCCAGTTAAATCAAAGCCCCAATCCAAAGAATCAAACCACAAACAAATTCACATATTGGGGAAAAAAATTAATAACCTCTTTTTCTGGTCTCTAATTATAGAACAATATAACCAGATAAGCAAGTAGAAACTTACAGTTTCTCCATCTGTCACCATGACAGCACCACTAGCTTGTCTCCCAATTTGACCCGTCTCAACCAAAATCTGAAAAATACTTAAAGAAAGTACATATTCAAAGCCCAAATGCATTCTAAATTGTAAAGAAATCCAGCACATCATATTAGAAGCAAAAAGAATTCAAAACTCATCAACAAATAGGCAAATGCAAACTTACATGTCTGTCACCGAAGGGAATTTTAACAGAGATAGCTTGAGGGAAAAGTTGTGGGCCATCAAATATAACCGATTCAGAAACTTCTACATCTTTCAAAGCTCTTGCACTAAATCTTTCGCTTCTTCTTTTATTACGTAAAAGAAGAGACAATGAAAGGAACTTGGATTTTCGAGAACTGATAAAACGAGGACAATTTGGCGAGAGATAGAGCTTGCATCGACTATTGCAGTGCGAAAATGGAGTTTTGTGTGAATAATAAGGTAAGCTCTGTAGACTGCTAGGGTTTGCTAACATTTTTTAGCTTGGTGCAGTATACAGTAGCTTTGGCATAGAGGCAGTGAGAGAGGAGCAGAAAGAGAAACTCTATCCGTTTTGAAGGCGCGCGGACAGTGGAGGGATGGTAAAGGTTTGTTGTCGAGTAATGGGTCTGGGCTTTTCTTGAGAATGCAGGCCCGGCTCATTGGATTATAAAGTATTCTACCTGTATGTTAATACAAAAAATCCATTAATCCAAGGAATTTTTAACGTCGTCTATCTCACGTTCAAATTTTAATTTCAATATTTCTTCAACAATGAAATTTGTCGTTCGTCGTTCGCTGAATTCACACATCATAAATGACATCTCATTGCCGTCTTTTATACTAGTCGTTTGAAGGATGAGAGAGAAAAATTACTGTATGGAAGCGTTTTTATTGATCTGCTAATTTTCTGTCGCTTTTACACAATCATTGAACGACATGACACTTCTTTTCTCATAACGACAAAAATAATCGACAGAAGAAATAACAATGACTAAACGACATCTAATTTATGAACAGTTAAACACAAAGGCCATATCCGCCGGCATGTCGGTAGGGTTTGGGTTTTGGTTCCCGCCATAAAATATCAGTTGTAAAAGAGAGAGAAGAAAAAAAAGAAAACGCCGTCGGAGACGCTCTACAAAACTTCAAGTCCTCAACCATCCTCGATTTAATTCCATGTTAAGCCCTCAACTTAAACTGCCAATCTTGGCATGAATTATCATAGCACCAGAATCCAACCCACAGGTAAATTCACTATTTCCTTCTTTTGTAGCATATAAATATTGTAGCGCTCTTTTCTTTTCTTTAACTCGCATTTTCTGTTTGTTTCTCTAGAATGCAGTGGAAAAATAAATGAAATTGATATTTCCATTTATTAATTTTTCTTGAAGATGTTTCTTTAGGGTTATGGGATTGTGGCATGAATTGTCTAATATAGAAGTTCCTCTTTCTTTCTCTCTCATGTTGAGGCTTGTAATTATTAACTTTTGATCTTTTTTTTTTTTTTGTGGGTGTGTGTGTTTTTGCGTTGGGGGAAGAGGATTTGCTTGAAGTTGCCACGTTTTACGCGAACATACGTGTATGCTACCATCACATTGAATTTGTAATATATCTGAGGACACTGTGTGGAGAGAGGAGAGACAGAAAGAGGATCCGTGTTTGTGGTTTGCCTGGAATACTGGGGACATGCTAGGCCCACTTGCATTTTCAGAGCTTTGAATAGTAGCAAAATGTCATAGCATGTTGGAGGTATATAATTTGGCGTGAAAATAACAAGAAAAAGGAAAAGATATTACATGGTATTTTACATTGATTTTAAATGTTATGGAAGAAAATGAGATGCTTTAATTTATCACGATTGATAGAAAGTCAAGAGGATTTTTTTCATTTCTATTGCTTGGAGGTGCTGAACTTTCTTCAGACACTTAGAGGACACTTAGATTGGCCAACCTTACATTTCTTTACTCTGGGTGGAAGTTGGTGGAGATTGGGGAAAGATATATGGCTGAATTGTAGTTAATCTTTCCCTTTGATATATCTCTTATCTACCCTCTATTGCTAAAGTTAAGTCAGTAAAATTTTGGGTTTTTATCTTCTGTACTTGCATGTTGTCCATAATTTGGATATTTCTATTTGCCACATGAAGGTACCTGCTGTTAACAGATAGTGATTTGTTGGAAAAGCTGAAATGTGGGCATATTGAGAGAGAAATAAAGTTTTGGGTTCATAAAGGGTCCCTCCATTTTATAAAACCAGTTGTGAAGTAAAGAGATTGACTGTTGGTATTATGATCTAGCAAGCTATATACTGTCTGCTTGGCATGTTCAAGCTTTCAGTTTGATGGGATGGTTTTTCACTGGTTCAAAGTGATTGAGAATCCTTGAAGGATGAAAGATAAGTTTGGATGATTTAATTGATGAAATGATCCTTTTAGGTTGTAGGCACATTTAGTTAAACTGCAGTTGCTCTTGCAGCATCTTCCGTCTGTGGGTGAAATATGGTTTACACTTTACAACTTTGTAAAAGAGATGCTTTATGTGCCTGAAGGAAGTTTAATTCCAAATGGAAGTTTGAGCAGTGAATCAGACAATTCTCCTGATTCTTAATTAAGCAAGTTTAATATTAGACATTCCAAGAACTTTGCATGTGTGCTTCTGATTTATCATCCAAAACATCAATTTCACAATTTGATTTTGTATTAATGTTAGGAAGTTGTTGACAATTCATGATGCATAACATAAAGAATCCTCCATGTGGGTATAGTTCTGGGACTCCAAGAACGTCTTTGCTAAAAGAATCTTGTGGAAGAGATGAAACGGACATTAACTTTCAAATCCACAGTATGGAAAAAGAGGCATACTGTTCTGTTTTGAGGGCTTTCATCGCTCAGTCTGATCTCCTTTCCTGGGTATTTTCCCACTCTGAAGCTCCCTAGTTATATCACCTTTTACTTGCATGAATTGCCTGTCTTTGTGTGCCGTTTTTAATATAAAATTTTCAGATTGATTTTGTTTGCCCCTGCTAAGATCTTTTAGTTACAGGGTAAGGAGGGGCTCATTACTGAGTTGCGGAAGGAACTTAATGTTACGGATATTGAACATGGTCAACTGCTTGTGAAAATTAATTCAGATGAGGCAATAAAAAGAATAAGGTTACCTACTTATTTTCTTTTTTTCGCATTGATCAACATGTAGTGGATGTCTTTGAACTAATTTTGCTTATTCAATGCAGGGAATGGCAGAAAGGTGCTCATGAATCACTTTCTGCCAAAGTGGATTCTCCTGGCCTTGTTACTACTCCAGTGGACCATAGTCCACAAAAAAAGAGGAGGCCTTCTCATCCTCCTCTTGCAAAATCTCAGAAATATGTTCTACATGATCAACCTTCTTCATCAACTATACCCTCTCTGCCACCAGTAAGTAGAAATTGCATGAGCTGGAGAATGTTCATCACATTGCATGTAATGTTCATCAAAGTGGCATCTGCATTGTATGTCTAGAGTTGCTCCGACAAATCCTTCCTTGATGAGAACACCGTCCAAATCTGTATCGTATTAAAACTGGAGGAATTTTGGTTTAGAACTCAAAGTAGATCTGTATTTGAATAGATCGATGAATTCATTATTAATTTATTATATAGTGATCCATACAAAATATGTGTTCTCTTTTTTTTTTTTTTTTTTTTTTTTTTTTTTAGATCGATGAATTCATTCATTAATTATTATATAGATCCAATACAAAATATGTGTTCTCTTTTTTTTTTTTTTTTTTTTTTTTTTTTTTGTATATGCTTTTTCTTAATTTGAGTTGCAATGATATAATTTTTTTTTTTTTTTTTTTTTTTTTTTTTGTATATGCTTTTCTTAATTTGAGGTTGCAATGAATATAATATATGCCTTGATATGCTGGTGTGGAATTAAACTAAAGGTTATTAGGAGGAGCCCTTTTCGGTAAAATAGTAATCTGGAACACTCTGATAGAATGCTAAAGATGTGATCAAGAGTCGTATCTAGATTGGTGATACTGTTTGTGGCTAATTTTATCTGGGTCACAATATATTTTCAAAGTTCAAAGTTTTTTGAATATTATTTATTTGTATGGTGTCAAATTTCTCTTGGTTGTCTTCAGGCATACTTCAAGGACAAGCAACATGTTGAGTTCAACAATCATTCTGTGAAGGTAGTAAATCACAATGTACCCCACGGTAACAAAGGAGGATTAGCACAGTCTCGTTTCAAAAGGGATATTCATGTACCTGATTCTGGTAAATTCAAGAATCATCCTGATTTCATTCAGATTCGTGCAACAGATACGGTTATTCATGAGGTGAGGCAGTCTGAGTTTTCAGCTGTTACTAAAATTGGATGCTGCATTTGCTTTAACAGATACGGTTATTCAGAAGAACTGTTACTGCAGAATGGCTATGATCTTTATATAGATTGTATATCTTTGAGTGATGGTCATACTATCAGTTCACCTTTTAATGGTGGATCTAGTCTGTAGGTATACACTGCACATGGGTGGCAGCTGGCTAACCTTGTAAATAACTTGTTGTGTGTGAACTAATTTGTTGACTCTTTGATATGATAACACCCTGAGACTACTGTGCTTGAGATTAGTTGCTCCAGATAAATAATTTTTTGGTAGACTGAACACTGTAGTTTTGAATTATGGTGGAGACATGAGCATTTAGGACAAATGCATTCCCATTGCCAATGGATTGTATCTTGATCGTGGTTTCTTGTAGTTGACCCAGAATGCTTTGAGGATAATATAATGGCAGCATAGTTGAACGCTGTAATACTGTTTCCCATGTTAAACATGGCATTACCTTTGTATTGATCCTAAAGGCAGAAACAGGGTTATTTAGTCAATCTTTCAAGCATTGTTTTTAAAGGTGAAGAAAACTCGGAGAATATCTTGCAATTCTCTCCCAAATCCCAATGCTATCTTCCCCCTGCTTTAGTGCCATTGTAATCACTTCAGTTTGAATAGAACTAAAATGATCAACTTCTTGGGGGTAGTGCTTGCTTGTGGATTTATTCTCAATCTCAGGGTAGTTCACCCATACTCCCAGCTACCATAGGTTTATAAAGATAGTCTTTGGCCGGCTCCTAAATATACTTTGAAGTTTCATTTTCACTGTAGTACACATTGTTACTTAAGGTGCTCAACTTACACAAACAACTGTCATTCCTTTACAGATACTCACTCCCCAGCTGGTACTTGACTAAATTCTTCTGGTGCAACACATACTAGATTATTTTCATATTCTTTTAGCATATTCATGCCCAGAGCTTTAGGCTTGGAATTCAATTCTCAGTTTTTATGTCAAGCTCTTAAATATTATTATATCTGAAACCTTTGTGAATCAGGTTGAGATGATGGCCTATGGCTATGGCAGAAAAAACCCTGACCCCATTCAACTTGAGAAGGCAAAGTTGATTCTGAGAGTAATTATCACGCCCCCATTTTGCATCTTATAACTAAAAACTTTAGATTGCCATGTTCCCATGATAGCCATTTTCTGTAATTTTTGATGTAGGAGCATGAAAGAGCTATCCTTGACGTACTGAATAAACTCTCTGATGCGTCAGATGATGGTTAGTGCTTTTCAGTATGATTCTCTTTATTTCATTTTTTCATCTGTTCATATTGGAATAGAGATGGTTACTTTTCCCATCACACTCTGTCCTGATTCCTGATCAACTATAAAAGAATTTGGTTCTTATAACCCTCAATATGTTCAATTTTGGATTTGGGCAATTCCTTTTATCCAAATTGAATTTGAAGTTAGCTTTAGGTTTTTAAAACAAATATGAATATCATTACTAGTAATGTGTTTTCAGAATGTTTGACAGCCAGTGACTTCCTCGGCTACAAGGTGGAAGGTTTTTATTAGACACATTCTGCCAGGGTGAATGCCGATAGGCAAGCTGATGAGCAGACTCGTTGACTGGGGCTGGGGCTGGTTCTGGTTATTCAACCATATGTGAAGTCATTGTAGATACTTAGTATATGATGACAGTAGATGACATTTCAATCCTGTACACAGTTGAAGACAATCTAGACATAGAAATGGTAGATATAGGCCTGCCCATTTTTTCATTCATCGGGGTAATCTTTTGTTTAATATGGCATTTGCTCTACCCTTCTGGGGCCTTGATCGAATACATGTATGGCTTATTTTGTGGTTAATCATCAACCATTTTCCCACAAGTTAATACTAAGCCATGTTCAACAATTACTTTTAATATAGTTTTTAGTGTTTTGATCTAGTTAGACCACTCTTTCTATTATTTATAGTTTTTGATGGTATAGTATTTATACTAGTATTTAGAGTTTGAGGAAATAGATAATAAAATATGCGTTTGAAGAAACGTCATTAAAATAGCTAACTTTTAAATGTTATCGGACGCTATTAATTTTGCTGAACAAGATCTAAGCCTAAAGTGTACAGTTTGAATAAGCCAGATGGGTAGGTGAGCACATGGGTAGGATTCCATTTCCCAGAGAATTATATAACTACAGTTTCTTTCAGCAACTATTTCTTATGCCTTGGAATCTAAATTAAGTCTCTACCACAAGTTTGAGAGAATTATTCAATTGTAGAAGATTGTCATATCATGAGCAAAAAAATACTGAAGGTGCAATTTCGCTCTTTATGTTGTTGTTTGATGTCTTCACCAGAAAGAAAAAGGAGTATAAAAATGAGTATTAGGAAAGCTTAACACTGTTAAATTTAATTTTATACGAATATAGTTTTTTTTTTAATTTATTTTTTGATAATATTAGTTTTTTTTTTAATTAAAAAAATAAGTGCCAATATTTGATTTAATAATATTGTGCATGCAAAAATTTGATGGATGAAAAACTTTGAATTAAAGAGCTCCATTAAGGGTTAAAAATAATTAAAAAAAAAAAAAAAAAAGAGCTCCATTAAGGGTTAAAAAATATTTAAAAAAAAAAAAAAGAACTAAAAATAATTAAAAAAAAAAAAAAAAGAACTCCACTTAAATGGAAAGAAAGAAAAACGAAGTTACCCAACCCAATTGATCCTGTTCATAAAATTATAATTAGAATGAGATTAGCTAAATTTTATATCATGCTTACTTCATAATTACAGCAGAAGTCCCAAAATTTATAGGGAAAAGCTAAACCAACAAAAATTAGAGCAAGGTTTGAATGTCTGGAAATTTAATAACAGGATAATGCATAAATATAAAAGGTGATTGAAAGTTCAGATATAAAATTTTGATAGAGTAATTACAGAATTATGTAAATGAGCATATGTATAAAAATATAATTAAGTTCTGGCTTTAATGGAAAATATTATGTTACTCTGAAGCAATGCACTGTTGATATTGCACTCAGCAGTACATAATTTTTTATCCTTAAACTAATCCAACTCTTCAAAATTTTTACTGTTCATGAGATGAAGTTACAGAAGAAAAGAAAGCTTCAACTGTGATTGATGGGTTATATTAACTAAATATTCTTTCTCAAAGTATGCTGAGGAAGACTTGTTAATGCCCTTCAATTCTTCTCCTGCCTGCAAGGAAGTTTCCTTTAATGTTCTTATTACAGGTACACTCAAAAGGGTTTGGAACACTGAAATCAATATCCAGAAGACTTTTAGAATGATTTTGAAATTAGAAAAAGTGTATAGAACTTCTTCATGATTTAAGGAACTTCAATTCATTAATTTTTTTCAACAGACAATGATTTTGTAGGCCCTTTTAGAACTTGACATTGCATACCTAAAATCTAGCTACCTCAGCTTGAGATTAACCACACATTATACTTAGGTAGTTTACTTTTCCATGTTTTTATCCAAATTTATGCAAAACATAGTTCTCAATTTTTTCTTCAACCAAATCCTAACAAATGATGTGAAATTTCATATATAAGGCCTCTTTCGCGCTTATTTACATGTATTTATGGAATGTGTTTGATTTTTTTTTTCTGTTAGAAGTTAGAACTAATAAAACATTTGTATACTGCAAGTACTTTCTGTCAGTACACACGAGTGGATTCGAGTTTTGTATTTGATACATTTCTTTCTGTTTGTAAATTTAACTTCTTTATACATTAGTTTGTCCAAAAACAATTGTAAATATTCTATTTTCGTATTCTATTCTTTTTGTTCCTTTCCCTTTTTTTAAGCTCCTACACAATATATGTTTTCCCTTATAAACAATCCAAAAAGATTGCCAATTCCCTCCTAGAAGCTCTCAAGGTAATTTATGGACTACTAATACTTCACTTCTCAATATCTCCACTAGCACCACTTCCTTTTGAATGGCAAGCTTCACTTCCAAACCCAGAAAGCTCACTCTTTTCCTCAACACTTCCTTTCTCTTCCTTTCCATTTTCTATATCTCAATCTCATATTTTCTTGAAAAATCCAATGAAGCAGAAAATATAGTCAATAACCATAATCATTCTTTATCGTTTCAAGAATTGATCAAGAATGGTGGCTGCACTGGCCTTCATGACCATGCAGACTCAAAATCCAAGTGTGTGTATATTAAGTCACATATTGGATGCAAGCCTAAAGGGTATATAAACTATCTTGAAATATTTTATTGCACTTTTGGGCAATTTCAGATACTGGGTTATGCTTTTTTATTACTATGGCTTGCTGTTTTATTCTATTTACTGGGTAATACAGCTGCAGAATATTTCTGTTCTTCCCTAGAAGATTTGTCAAAAATCTTGAAACTTTCTCCAACCATTGCTGGTGTCACTCTTCTTTCTCTTGGCAATGGTGCTCCTGATGTTTTTGCTAGTATTGTTTCATTTACTAAGTCTAGTAATGGTGAAGTTGGTCTAAACAGTGTACTAGGAGGAGCATTTTTTGTGTCTAGTACTGTTGTTGGTGTTATAAGTACATTAATAAGTCCTCGAAAAATTTCAATTGATAAACCTAGTTTTATTAGAGATGTCTCTTTCCTTCTTTTGTCACTTTCTTCTCTTCTTTTGATTCTTGTTAAAGGAAAAATCACCTTATGGGTTTCAATTTCTTTCCTTTCTATTTACTTCTTTTATGTTTGTGTAGTTTGCTTAATGCAATTTGTTATCTTTAAAAAAGAACCTAAAGTAAACCCATTGCCAACTCCTCCATCTACAAAAGATTTCACCATTAATAGCCAAGAAGATGTTGTGGAAATGGGTATTCCACTTCTTGGTTATGTTGATGATGAAAAACCCATTTTAGTGGAAAAGAAAACAAATATTGAGAATGAGAAACAAGAAAGCTCATCATCTTTTTATTACTACTTGGGTAGATTTTTAAATATTTTGGAGCTACCTTTGTACTTGCCAAGAAGATTGACTATTCCTGTTGTCAGTGAAGAAAGATGGTCTAAGGCTTATGCAGTTATTTCTGTTACATTGGCACCATTTTTACTGGCAGCTGTGTCCGAAACTCAAATGGAAAAGAAAATGCGTTCTAGAAGTACTCTAGTGGCTTACTCAATAGCAGGTTTTATAGGCATGTTTCTTGGAAATCTTGCTTTTGTCTCTACTAAAAGTTCAAACCCACCAAATAAGTTCTTATTCCCTTGGCTAGCTTGTGGGTTTTTAATGAGTGTTGCTTGGACTTATATTATTGCTGAGGAATTGGTTTCTCTTTTGGTTTCAATTGGGCTTGTATTTTGGATTAACCCTTCAGTTCTAGGGTTGACTGTCCTTGCTTGGGGCAATTCACTTGGAGATTTGATAGCTAATGTGGCTATGGCTATGCATGGTGGGTCAGATGGAGCCCAAATTGCTATTTCAGGTTGCTATGCTGGGCCCATGTTTAATACCTTGTTGGGGTTGGGCTTATCATTTGTTATCTCTTCATGGGCTAAATATCCAAATTCTTATACGATCCCTAATGACCCTTCCCTCTATGAGACTTTAGGGTTTTTGATGGCAGGCTTGCTTTGGGCCCTTGTTATTTTGCCAAGAAATAACATGAGGCTTGATAAGTCTCTTGGGGTTGGTCTCTTAACTGTATATTTGTGCTTTATCTCTCTAAGGCTGGCTAGGGCTTTTGGTCTTTTGAAATATCTAGAATAAGGTTATTTCTGGAAACATATTTAGCATTGTATTTTCAATGGTTATATTATAGTAGTATACAAAGTACTATAAGACTAATTAAGTCGTTGAATATCTTCTTCATTCGTACATTAATTTTGTATGAAATGATGACCATTGCTATCTTTATGTTGTGCATTGTAAATATGATTAAAAAGAAGTCCATTCTTGTAAATTCCTAAATTTATTATTTAAGCTCTCAATCTTTAACTTTTAGATGTTAGTAAAAATAACAGTTATAAGCATTTAAAACTTATAAAAAATACTAAAATATTAAATATTCTAATCATTGTTGTGTTTTAATGGGTTTTGATAATAAATTAGAAAATTAGGCACAATTTTAAAATTTAAATCTCAATGTTAAGACAAATAAAGAATGGTAAAATACTAAAACTTCAGATTTAACATTTACTTTTCACTCCCAGTATTTTAAGACACAAAAAAAAAAAAAAAAAAAAAAAAAAAAAAAAAAAAAGTCTTCAATGTTAAACAAATATAAGAAGGTAAAATAACTAAAACTTTCAGATTAACATTTAAGCTTTTCCACTCCCAGTAATTTAAACTACAAAAAAAAAAAAAAAAAAAAAATAAAAAAAAAAAAAAAAAAAAAAAAAAAAAAAAAAAAAAGATAGAATACCAATTATTGACAAGAGACCATACAAACGTTGTAGTGTAGCTATGGGCAGATCAAAATTGGAAGTATGTAGCAAGTTGCATGGCAATAATGTAATAATAATAACGTTGGCGTAGAAAAGTACCTGTTAGGCTTCTTCCGGTAAACTCCATTGGGACCATTTCCTAACAAATGATGCCGATGTGGTCCTCTTGAAGGCATCTCATTCCATTCAATTATTCTTATATTTTTGTGACAAGTTGGTACCTTCACCCAAACCCAAACCTAATAAACACGCATGGAGAAAACATCTGTTTTTTTTTTTTTTTTTCTCTCCTTTTCTCTTTTTGATTTATTAGATATTACTTGTTCGGAAAATTTTTTTTTTTCATTAACTCTTATCAAATCAGCGAAACTCACGAAAACAGATATAAGATTTCATCCTGCTGGTTAGGTAGTTGTTTGGTTGATTTTTTCAAAAAGTGAAAAGTCTTGAGTTTGAATTATCTCGACCATAATTATTTTCATTAATTTAGTGAGCCAAGAGAAGAACGGCTCCATATTGCGTAGCTCGCTAATATTTCGACTCATTAGACCTTCAATCAATTAAAATATAAGATCTCATACTTTCTAATACGAGGAAATCAAATTAGTTAGATCGCGGATGATTAACTAATTTCAATACTTTTTAGAAATTAAAATTTTATCCAATTTCAATTGAAATAAGAAAATAATAATACGTATCGACTTACCTATTGCTTTCCAGTTTCCATACCTAAACTTCAGTAGATGATTTTGTTTTTTTCTTATTTTAATTTAGATTGCCAGTTTTGAGCCCAATTACCCAATTCTGAGCTTTGGTTGGGCTTTCATTCCAAAAAACCATCTCTCTTAAGCAAACTACAATCCATTATTAAATCAGAAATGAAAATGACATTTTAGTTAAATCACATGACAAGGATTTATCCTACGGATTGAATTTAAAACGTCCCATATTAAAATTTTATTCATATTGATTATTTATGAGTTGCCCATAATGTTATTTATACTCTAATTTTTTTTATTAAATTTATTATATTATTTTGATTTGATAGTTTTTTGTCATAATATTTATTTTTTCAAAATGCATTGATTGCTTATATGTGATTAACATTTTATTTTAATTTATCCATGAGATACTCAATTTTATGTAAAATTTAATTAGTCTTTATTTTCACTATATTTATCTATTAATTAATAGTCCATAAAATTTGATTCATCTTTGTTCATGCTAGATTCCCATTATTATTATTATTAAATATAATTCTAGAAAAAAATAATTTTAGATAGTTCGTAATAAGATTATGTAAGATTTAAATTTAAAAAAATTTCAGTAGCTTTTAATTAATATTTTTAAAATAATTTTTCTTGTAATTAATTTAAAAAATATATTTTTCTTTTTATAGACAAGCTGTGGCTCAGTTGACAATACAAACCGAAAAGAAATTATTTACAGCAAAAAAATATATATTTTTTCTAAAAGTCAATTGTTTTATTTGTTTGGATATAAATAAATAGACGTTTACTACACGTGTCTTTTTCTTTCACTAGAAGAGAACAGATAATGGTTCAAGTGTCAATCCATCAATGAAAATATAGCACACAACTGGATGGCATACATAAAATTCTTTTCAGATAATTCTTTTTTTATTATTAATTATTTTAAAATATCCCACATTGAAAATAATAGCCATAAAAGTTTTGCTGACACCCCACAAATTGACAGTGCGTTTTTTATGTTATTTTATTTTGGAAAAAAAAAGTTCAAATTAGTAATTAAAAAGTGAATTACTATAATTAGATAAATAATTAAGAAGTTATTTGAGTGATTAAATAATAGATATTCTGTAACGATCCTCTCTTTTTATAAATTTTCTTTAAATATCTATGTATTTTTTTTTAAATTAACGCCTCAAAACATAAAATTAAACTTTTTTATAATATTTTATTATATATTGATCTCTTTTTTTTTTTTTTTTTAAGTATTTATGATCGATTAAATAATAGATTATCTGTAACGAGTCCTCTTTTTTTATAAGAAATTTTCTTTTAAAGTACTCTATGCTGACGTTTTTTCTTTAAATAACGGCCCTAAAACATAAAATTAAACTTTTTATAATATTTTAGTTATATATTTTGATCCTGTTTTTTTTTTTTTAGTAATCGTCACCGCATTATTTATATACTCAGTTTTTTTTTTTTTTTTTGTAAATCTACCATTATTTAATACTCAGTCTTTCAGTACAAAAGAAAAAATATTTTATATATAAAATAATACATTTCTGTTGAATAATTTTCTGTTCTCCACTTAATATCTCACGATATTTGTAGATTGTTATCTAAAACTAAAGGGGTCATTATTATTGTTTCAAATTTTAGAATAAAATATTCAAGGATAAAATTCACTCTATATAAATTAAGGCCTACTTGGTAACATCCACAGTAATTTTAGTATTTAAAGTTTTGACTAGTGAAAATTAGTTTCTCTATTATTTATAATGTTCGGTAGATATAATTTATACAAATGTTTAGAGTCTGAGAGAAAAAAATTATGAGATGTTAATCTATTTAACATTTAATAAAAAAAATGAATAACTACCAATTTAAATTTAATTATCAACTATTGAAACAGTTCATTACTAAAATAATATCCCTATATGTATAAAGCTACTCATACTTGCGCATATTTGCAGGAGTGCAACGTTTAAGTTAAGCTGCAAGAAATTCATAGATAAACTCAGTTTATCACGTCACCTATAGATTCATCTAATGAAATAAAGACAAGTAGGTTTACTTTTTTTTTTTTTTTAATCGAATTCCAGGACAATAGGTTGTTTTTTTTTTTTTTTTTTTTATCTAATGAAATAACGACACATAGGTCTATTTTTTATTTATTTTTTTTTTTCAGGTTATTGACTGTTAATTCTAGCTTCCTAAGACTTTCTCCTAGGCTGCTTTCTTCTCTTAATTGTGAATAAATTGGCAAGTAACCCATAAGCAGCACAAAATTCAAGGCAACATAATAACATGTTTGCCCTTCTTTTTCTTTTTCGTTTTTTCCCCAACACTCATCAATGATCAAGTTCCAATTACGTTGCAGTTAGCAAAAACCAAAACCACTACGTCTCTGAATATAAACAAAAGCTTGGCCATGCCATGTGACCGTTAAGCTGGGACCAGCCTCTCTTGCCGACTTGCCATGTAACATAGCTTCGTGCCAAAAGGTGACACATCAAAAATTGAATATATAAATGTAATTAACACACTAATTTAGTTTAGTTGCGTTTCTATCATAATTTCTTTTTTTTAAGTATCAAATTAATAATATTTGAAACAAAAGAAATACAGTCGATACCAAATCCCAATTAATTTGTGACTAAGCTTGATTGTTACTGTAAACAAACGAGTTCAATGCTGGGGTCACTTTTTCATGATATCCATCTTGAATTGTGATCAATTTTCTACTGTTGAACTTTAATCAAGAAAGAAAATATATCCCTGTTACTGTTACACATCATTGTCTGAAGCCTTCAAAATCTAGTTTTTTTGCATACTTACATAAATTATTTGGACTATTGTTTGTCTCCTAGCTTGGAGGCATTCTATCAACAGGACAAGCTCTCCAAAGCTGGAACTTAGGTTCTGTCAAATTTATTGTCTTCTTATCAATCTTTTTCTTTCATTTTCTCATCGTTTCCTTCCTCAGAAGATTGAATTTGAATCTTTTGCCCCTCTTCATACAATATTCAATCCAACATTAACAAAAGATAATAGCAGATAACTTTATTTATTAACTGAAATAAACTTTCGAAAAAAAGTACAGCATCTTACAATTGATGATAACTTACTATACAGGGAAGACTAGCTTTTAGTATACGGGGATTTCACATATTTTACAGATAAAGCCGCAAAGACCTTATGTAGCTTGAAACTGGAAAGAGCCAAGTGTTTGAACAATCCTTAAAGACAGAGAAGCTACGTATATAGCTAAAAGTCCTGATCCCAACACCCCATCAAGCTTCATGTTTCTACATGGTAAGATCACAAGTGCCCATAGCAAGCCAGCCAACAGAAACCCTAATGTCTCGAACAGATATGGATCTGCTGGTACTACAATAGGAGATGGGTATTTATACCAGCATGAACTAACAAGAGATAATCCCAAACCAAACAGGATATTGAAAATAGGACCTGCATAACAACCTGATATAGCAACTTGTGCACCTTCACGACTACCATTCAAAGCCATAGTCAAATTGGTTATCAGATCCCCTAATGAATTGCCCCAAGCAAGAACTGTCAACCCAAGAATTGAAGGACTTATACTAAATATATATCCAAGAGATACTAAAAGGGCTACTAATTCTTGAGCTATAAGGTAACTCCACACCACACTCATTATAAACCCTCCTGCTAGCCAAAAGAATTGGCATTTCTTGGGTGGACTTGACTTTTCAGTTGTTAAGTATGCAATAACAGCAAGTATCAATCCAATGAAGACCCCAATTCCATAAAATACTATGCTGCTCTTGGAATTGGTATTTTCATCTTGTGGATTCCAAAGAATTGCTAACAGAATTGGTGCTAATGTGACTGAAGCAATCGCCACTGGTTTAGACCATCCATCTTCAGAAACAACAGGAATTGTCAATCTTCTTGGCAAATAAAGAGGCATTTCAAGTATCCAAAGAAGAATCTTACAAGGCGCAGATAACCGCAAACAAAAGCAACATTTCTCAATTTCTACTTCAGTAGCACCTCCTAAACCAGCTTCCTCCAAATAATTTACTTCCCCCTTATCGGTACTATTTAGAATTGGTATGTGCAAGTCACTGTCATAACTCGAATTACTATCATCCTTTTCAATGTCTTTCCCATCATCAGCCCATCGCATATCCGAAGAGTAAACAAGAACAACATAGAAAATGTACATAGACAAAAACACCATTGCAACCCAAATATTGATTTCCCCATGAAGCAAAATAAAACTTAAAGTTGCAAGAACAAAAAGAAAGAAACAAATATCTCTAATAAAGGCATTCTTATTGACTCTAACTTGTTTTTGCTTCACTAAGATGCTCATAATTCCAACCACAACACAGGTTATAAAGGAAGCACCGCCTAACACAGTATTGATGCCAATGTCACCTGCACCAGTACCCATAAAGGACACTAAACTGGAAAAAACATCAGGCGCACCATTGCCAAGAGAAAGGAGAGTAACTCCAGCAATTGTTGGGGACAATTTCAACAGACTTGATAAATTTTCAAGTGAAGAGCAAAAGTACTCAGAGGCTGTGTTCCCCAGCAAATAAAACATCACTAAAAGCCAGAGAAATAAAAGACAATATCCTACAAGTGGAAGTCTCCCAAAATTGCAATAGAAAATGTAAAGATAATCAATATAGCCTTCAGATACACATGGCTCATGCGACGCAAGGTAATGGCACTTGGCTTGAGAATCTCCAAGATTTTGCAAATCCTTGCATTCTTGTTCATCACTAAGATTGGAAAATTGGGATTTTCTGAGAACAAGAATTTCAGCAGAATTGGACCGTATAATCAAGAAAGCACAAGCCGCTAAGAGAAATGAAATGTTCAAGAAAATAATATATCTCTTGTGCTGGGATATAGAAACCAAGACACCCATTACAGGAATTCAATCAAATTCTCACTTAAAACTCAAAAATATAATGCTATATCATGATTGAGGAACTGGGTCAATGATAAATGAAGACACTTTGGACTGAACTGAACCAAATCAGAGAGAAACAGAGACCAAGTAGTCCACTTGGAAAAATTTATGAAATAAAACAAACTTTCTTTCCTGCAAAACAAAAATCAAGATTGAACAATTGGGTTAGATTCAAAATCAAATCTTTTGGTCCAAATTCTTGGAAAAGACAACATAAAAGCCGAAAAAAAAATTAATTAACTAACCTCTTATCCAGAAATGACAGTTGAGAAGTGCAATTTGGAAACAAAATAAAGCTCCCAGCTGTAAGCAGGCTAAGCAAAGAATCTGGACAGAAAATGAAGAAATGCAGAGATTTTTCTTCTAAATAGAGGTAGAAGTAGAAAATGTTGACTTACTAAAGCAAGGTTTGAGGTCTTCGGTGCGCAAAGTGCACTATATATTGGTTTCATGGTTCAACTATCAAGTGTGAACTACATATTTATATTTAAACAAGAGGTACAAATTTGTGTGGCACTCGGCTAGATGACCTGTTGCATGAAACATAAACTCTGACATGTAATCTAGCACGTGTAAATTTCTTAACGAATACAAAGGATTTTATAAAAAGAAAATATCTTAAAATTTTACTATTAGTTAAATTGCATTATATTTTTAATTTGTTAATTTCACGTGTGATCGAACACACGTGAGTTTCTTAATGCATACAATAAGGATGTAATAATAAAAGAAAAGACTGATGGTTGATGGTTGATAATAGTTATCTGTTTGTATTTTAGTAAAAAAGTTTCATAAAAATTATTATTAAAATATAAAATAGAATAAAAATATAGTTATTTTTATAGATTATGATGTATATATATATATATATAATTTAATGTGAATCCTACTATTTTTTTTTAATTTATTATATAAATAAAAATTAATTAAATTTTAAAATGATATTTAATGAACAAAATTATTTTTAAATAGTTAAAAATACAATGGTCATTAAAATATTAATTTAGTAGTAAGTATTTTTATGAAGTTAATGAAATCCAAAATAATATAAATACAAATCATCTACCAGTCCATACGAAAAAGCTGCAAAATATAGTTGATCAAATCACACCTTATTAGGACTTCTATCAGTTATGGTGCTGATTAAAAAAATTTACTGTTAAATACTTATATCAGTTATGGTGTTGATTAAAAAACTTAATGTTAAATGCGAAATACATATCGACCGTATGAATAAGCTAAATCAAATATCCTGATAATCTATAATGAATGAAGAGGGTCAGAGATAGCTTTATCTATAAAAGGAAAAAAAGATTTCTTAATTTATTTTATAAATATGTTTAAAAATTGACCTCATTATCTAATTAAATTTTTTTTGTCTCCTCTAGAATTTTGGATCAACCACTAAGCCTAATACGAAGTCATCATAACAAAGACTTTTTTTGCCCTTCTTCCCTCATCTTGTAACTTTTTAGACCATGAAATTGAATGATTGATTGGTTTGATTTCTTAGGCTCTTGCCTCCACATTATAATCCTTGAACCGAATCAGCCCTGCCCCAAGTCCCTCCAAAGTAATTTCTTTACCTAAAAATAGTAGTCATGCAATTCATGATGCCTTTCTATCATAATGTTTGTATTGATCCACTCTAATAAAATGGACAAAATCAATTTTTAAATAAAATAAATATAATAAGTGATTGATCCTACAATATAAATATATAACTTTTATTGGAAAAGAAGACAAGATGACTATAGATAATGTGTAAGAAGATAGAATGGATTTGATTGTTCTGCAATTAAAATTTGCACTTGTCTTTAGTGAAATAAAAAATAATCAATTAAAAATTTCGATACATTGTTTTCTTAATTGTTTTATGAAAAAAAAAAGTCATAATCGCGGGAAAATTTTGAAAAATTAAAGGGGAAATGCATATAAAAAAATGAAAAGTATTATAATGAAAAAAGTAAAAACAATTGAAAATAATATATTGAAATATTGTATTTTTTTTTTTTTACAATTTGAATATGTTTTTTCAGAATGTGTACATTAATTTTTAATTTATTCGATAAATTTTTTAAAAAAATTGGGATAAATATTCAAATAATACGTTCTATACGTATGGGGATGGAAGACAGTGCATTGTCTTGTTCACGTAGAATGATGTGAATGCTTTGCAAATGAATAGGTAGCAAGTTGATGACACGGAAAAAATTAATTACCGTCTCATCCATTTCTTAATTATTTCTTTTCATTTTGATTAATTCCTTTTTTGAACTAATTAACAATTAGGTCAATTCATGGATTATGTTTTCCTTTTAGATTTTGAAATTAAAAATTTTTTTATAGAATAAATTTTTCAAATTTAAAATTTTGGAATAAATTAATAAATATTTATTCTTTTTATTTTTATTAATTTGTACCTCATTCTTTTTTTTTTTTTTTTTTTTTTTTTTTTTCTCCTTGTCAATGTCACCTAATCAACTTCTACTTCAAGAGATAAATAAAGTTAACTTTTAGGATTCCTTATTACCTAAGATTTTATTTAATCGTTTATATGCACATCATTAAATTAATAATTACAATAATTATTTAAACAAAATCTGAAAAATGCTATCTTGGTATGCACACGATTAGAATCTTTTTATCCATTGAAGAAAATGTTAATGATAAGATTCATTTTTTTGGTTTTTTTCCTTTAAAAAAATTGACAGGATCTGCAATTGGAATTCCTCTTTAACAATAAGAAAATGATTAAACTCAGTTGTGGTGGACTGTTAAAGTTTAATTATCAATAAATTAAACTTGTTAAAGTTTATTGTTTGAATGCTACTAAATTAAAGTTTATTAATAATACGATAGAAATTTGATTAATCAAGTGTGTATGTAGATATTTAACAGTAATTAAAATTTATTAAATTGTAGAAATATAAAGAGCGGAAGGTATCGGATTTGAGTGTTATTCAAAACTATCACAATTTTTATGAATGTTATTCAAATATAATAATTATTATTCATATTGTAGTTCACGTGTCCACTCGGTCTACTAGACTTCCTATGAAAAAAAAAAAAAAGAAAAAAACCCTAATTACCAACCAATCACTGCGAGCCGACTTGAGATATTAATTATAGATATGAAAATGATTTTTAATCTGAATTTGCCGCCACGCATTGAGTGTGAAAACATGCAGTGCAATGGAGGACCATACGTCTCTTATATATAAATAAATAAATATAATGTCTGCCTTAGCTTCTAACTTAAGGCTTAAGCATGCAAAAAGAGAGGTCATAAAAGATGAAACTGATTAATCAAGCTACATGTCGTGAAATGGGATTTTTCCCTTATGCTGTGTGGAAGGTATTGTTTCATTCCTTCTGTAGATTGTCCTTTTTTAATGGAAAGGGATGTTTTTACTGTTATGGTTTGAAATGGAAGAAAATTTCAATGGTGGGGCTTCATGTAAAATTGAATTCACAAATTGTACATATGCCCTAATGGGTTGGATGAGATTGAATTAAATTATTATTTGGTTCGATTTTAAAAATTTTTACATAATGTGAGTGGTTTGATTTTTTTTTTTTTCTTTTATAGTTTTTGGACCGGTTGGATTATATTTCAACCAAACTATTAAAATATATGCCTTACTCTTATTGGAATAAAAGGTTTCATGTATTGATAATTTATCAATGTATTAGCGGATTAGATATGTTATAATTGTATTGCTTGACCAATATTTTACGGGACGTTTTATTCAGGTGATTATTTATATAATCAATAACTAGTTTGTACCTAATAACTATATTATAGGTGCTCTGTAATTTTTTTAATTAACCGCTGCTTGATATTAGCTGCTGATTCTATTAATTATATTTTTTTTGAATCTTTTTATATCAGATAATAGTTAATTTGTATTTATATTATATTTATATTTTATTAACATCATAAAAATTAATTATTAATATTTTTTATAATTATTTTATTTAAAATTATTTTTAAAATAATAATTTCTTATAAATACTGTTTTAAAATTTTAACCGTCAGCTAGAAATATCGAATCATCAGCAATCACTGTTAACTGTAAACTACTGCAACTACTAAATGAAAGCCGCATTCAATTATTAAGCCTAATGTATTTGGTAAAGACTGAGATTTGAATGCACATGTGAATATACAGCAGCTGAGTCATCATAAGCAATAATTCAGTCCTTTGGCATAGTTTTATCCACATGTATTGGATAAGTGAAGAATTGTACTTGGAAAGCTTATTTAATATGTATTTAAACACCTAAAAATCTAAAATTAAAAAATTTATTTAAATTTAAATTTATTTATAGTTTTATCCGGTCAACTAAATAGTCTATTTTCAATTAGTCAATGCGTACGAGACACAATTTAAAAAAAAATAATACAGTGGTTTGATTTTCTCTTAACTCAAATAAATTATTCATTTTCATTTACTTACCAAATTAATGAATTTTTTCCAATCAAAAAATTATTCAATTGTTCATTGTGTTAAATATACCTATTAAACCGATCGAAAATCTCAATTTTGGTTATGGAAATATGGAGCAAATTGAGCATCATTAAAGAGAGAGAACCACTTTTTAGCTTAATGAGCCCTAAGGCCCAAATATGGAATATGAATAATTTCATCAACGATTACAAGCAAATACGGCCCAGAAATATGGGCTTTATTTATTTATTTTTTACGTTATTGAAATTGGGTTAGAATTCAACCGACCCGTATTTGAAAACGAAAAATGGAGTCACCGTTGCCTTAATTTTTGACTTCTAGTTCTCTGCATCGGAAACTACGAAACGTACAAAACAAAGCTTAAAATCTTAAATAAAATCCACCTCTTCAAAGTTGTAATCTAACTCTCTCGCCAACATCCATTTCCTTTGTTCACTAAATTGTCGATTCTGTTTCGCGGGTTTTGAAGAATTTGGAGGAATTTAAGTAATAATAGGTCTGAATTGTGTTTGTGAATTTCTTTTGTAGTTATGGATTCTACAATGAGAATTGGGTCTTCTATTGTTTTACCCATTTCTTCTTCTTCGCTAAAACTTAATCAACACAAGGAAAGCAAATTTAGTTATGGGCTTCGGTTCAGTGGAAGCTGGTCCATTAGGAAAATCTGTGCCATTACTCCTAACGGCTCTGTTTCTCCATCTGCTTCTCACGAGGTCAGTCTTTTTTATTTTTTTCCCTTTTATGATTTTTACTTTTAAAATTTCCTTGTACACTGTGTCCTGCTGAAGAGAATCGTCATCTGCGCAGTCAACTGTTGGATATTTAATTTTAATGAATCAAACCTGTGGTTATGTATAGTTTGTTTCAAATATAGGTTCCTGTTATTTGGCAATGATCATTGCTTATAGTTATTGATTTTCTTATCATATTTTGCATTTGCTTTTAAATACCATGATTGTGAATATACATTATGTTTTTATTTTGTTAGTGCATCATGATGTTTCATGCATGCTTAATTCTATTAAAAAAAATGTCTTTGCTCTACTCTCTTGTTTAAAGCCATCGAAGAGGCTATCTCTAATTACCCATATCGCTCAATATTAAATAGGAGTAACCAGTATGTAATCCTATGTGCACATTAGATTGGAAGAAGTATAGCGAAGTCAAATGGGGTTTCAATCGTGGGTTTTTCTTCTTCTTTTGTGTGGATGAGCTCTATGTATGCTAGTTTTATTATCTTTTGTGAGAGTAAAATCCCTTAATGAGGAGTTATTTCAATGTTTCAGGAAGAATCGAGGGCAGCGGGAGATGCACACAGGCAAAGAAGCAGCCTTGAATCTCTTTTTTGTTATGACAAGCTTATACCAGAAGAGAGAATTGAGAAGCCAATTGGTGTATCTATTGCTGAAAAAATAATTGGAAATAATCCTCGATGCACTGATTGTCAAGCCAAAGGTGCAGTGCTTTGCACCACTTGCTCTGGTTCAGGCTTATATGTTGATTCCATACTGGAGAGCCAGGGTATCATTGTCAAAGTCCGTTGCCTAGGTAGTGTTTCTTTCTCTTCAAATCGTGTATGCTAAAATATGAATTTGCTTGTTGCCCATTTTGAGTTCATTATATTCCTATATCCTAGCTTGACTCCTGCCTTATATTATTACCATCTATGTTCTGCATCAAAATTATGAACCTTATGATGTTTTAAGTGAAATGAAATGTATATGGATGTGACATTTTCAAATGAGTTCATTGCTGCGAGCAATTCCTGTCATTTACTTTTTGGAATTACTGCCTTTTTTTAAAGGCATGCCCGTGAATGATATGTAATGACTCTTCCTGCCCCAGCTCTCTGTTTCTTTTTCTTATTTTATTGAAAACTATGTTCTTTTCTTTTTCCTGTAAAAAGAGGATATTTATTTGTTAGGTTTATTATGGATGATTGGATTCCTTTAGGCTATTTCTAATGTGCACTGATTTTCATTCTATATGGTAAAAACTTTTTTCAACACAATGATTCTAGCCATTCTTTGCTGTCTCTTCATTCTGATCAGCAAATTCCTCCATGACATAGGATTATTACAATAACAATAACAACTAAGCCTTAGTTCAAACTAGTTGAGATCGGCTATATGAATCCTTTGGTCTAGTATCCACTATGACATAACGTGACTGTTTGAGAAATTCTCCTTTTATATGCTAATGCAATTAGAACATAAATAATCAGAAGCTGTTCTCCTATTAAGATACTCAGCTAGAGTTGTATTCAAGTCTGTCATGATTGGATTATATTAGAATTGGTGATGTATTGCATGATTGATTAAACTAGACTATAACCTTTCAATATATGGTCTATTCAAGTACATAATTTTCAATGTTGACCATGTTGTGGATAAGAGTCTTATAAGTATAGCAATACTTGGCCTCACTTTTCTGTTTGTATAATTAGGTTCTTGTGCACTGCCTTGAATAAGCTTTATTGAAAGCACACCTGGCCATATTTTAAAGCTGAAAGCTGCAGGGGCTCTAGCAGTTCTCAGTTCAACATTTCTTGAGAACTGTTGAATCTTGGTCACAAATGGATGACTTGGCTTTTCAGCTTTAGTTAGTATTTCGTCATATTATGATGATAATTGAGGTTTGCAGTATTCCATTTACTGTGAAATTTTGATTTTCCTATATATTTATTGTCTGGGATAAACTTCTTGGTTTTAGGAATAAATAGTAGTCTTGGTAGGAAATAAATATTAAATGGCAAAAACTGCAGACTAAAACTTTTGTTTTATTCATTTGCATTTTTTGTTGAATATAGTATGATGTTTTAAAAATGGAGATTGGGTCAAACACAATGAGATTTCCCCTTCATTGGATGTTGGAGAATATCCATGTTTACGTGGCAAATTTTGAATCCTGATATTTTTCTACTATGTATGGAATTCTATGAATGATTGCTGCTTAGGGCAAAAAGTTTTGTGTCACCTGATTATCAGTCATCTTAATTTACTTACTGTCTTGAAACTTTTAACAATTATTATGTGACATTTGCTATTTTGCAGGTTGTGGAGGAACAGGTAACATTATGTGTTCAGAATGTGGTGGGCGTGGTCATCTTTGACACAAATGATCTGGATTGGTTTGCTCTTCTACCTTGGATTTCGTTGTAGAGCCTGTTTCTGTAACGTTTACATGTTAAATGTCACATTTGTTATCATTATGTAGTCCGGAGATATTGCCTGAGTTCATCTTTGGTAATGTCAACAAATTCCATGTGTTTAACTCAATTCGTTTCTCAATGGTAGTTATATCAATAATTCATGAGTTTTATTGGTTGCATTTTCCTTCTGTTTGTTTATTTGGAACATTGAAATGTGGTGGCTGCACCAGTTCTTGCCAGTTTTCCTTCTGCGTATTTTAAAAATTGTGGTTGATAAGTGATAAACGAAGTTTAAAATCAAATCATGGTTACACCAAAAATCAAATTACTTAAAAACCATTTTTATATAATCCTTTGTTTCTTTATATCTGGTGGTTTTCTGGTGTGTTTGACCTTAGTCGTTTATTGAAATTCAATTTACTTGAACATGTATGTGCAAACAGTTTAAGGGCATGTACTTCAAAAATTTTGAGATATTGAATCATGTACAACATCAGTTTGTATCATTCCCAAACCAGTAGTTAAAATCCGACAAATTCACGTATTTCTAACTGTCAGGTATATCTGGTACAAGTTTTTGAATGCGAACTGGAATAGTTGGGTCAACCACGTCTAAGTTTTTAGATATCTGCTGCTAACGACCATGTCTAAGTTGGCTTCCAGGATCTTTAAGCTCCATATCTTTGAAGCTCTTGAATGCGAACTGGAATAGTTGGGTCAAACCTTGGGCCCTGTGGGTTCTCTGCGTAAACTACATAGTAAGCCGAAACACATGCTTGTGGCCATGCCATTGCTACCCTACACTGAGGACCACAAAACTTGACATCAGTCCTGGTCAGTTCCCTGTTTCTTTAGAAAAATGAATTGTTTGTGAGTTTTTAAGTATATGAGCTCTTACCATGAAATAGCCTATCAAGAAGGCATAGATTGACACTTCTGTTGCATAGCTCTTATGAACTGTTAATGTCCATATTCCTCCAACCAAAGCACATATTGCACCTCCTGCTATCCCAGATAGGAAACAGAATGACCCAGTAAGGTCTGAATCAATTAGCGGTTCCAGCCCTGCCCTCCTGAACAACTCCCATGTGTCCATGGATGCCTGCACAAACCCCTTGTTATAAACTCCTACGTGCACAAAACCCCACCTATTTCCATAGTTCACCAGTGTAGAAGCTAAAGCAGAATAGCAGTTAGCGCAGGAGAACAAGAATTCATCTGTACCCCCCGCAACCAGACTAATTGCTCGTGCAGAGCCCCGGATTACAGTAAGAATCGGTACAATGGCAGAACCGATGAGTATATTCCCCATAAGGTGTTTGATTGTGTCTCTTAAAGCTACTTTTGTGTCCATATCTGCTTCACGTGCCAATTGTATGTACTTGATGTGTGCAACTGTAACCTGCAATGTGTTTTTCATCACTTGCATACACCATATCAGGCTTAACAAGATCACCAATATGAACAAGGTGTCTATTTCAGTTCCAGTAATAGTGGCACCGCCTATACCAGACACCAAGAAGCCAGAATAAACTATGCCTATGACAAGAGAGAGAATAACCAATGCAGTAGTTTTAGCAGGAGGAAAAGCTGTGGAAACTGAGAGAATCTTGATTGCATAATTAAACCTGAGATTCACCCAACAGGCATAAAGGGATTGAATGATGGAAAAAACAACTGCAACTGAACCCATTGCAAGACTTGCAGCAGAGCCAATTAACACAAGCAGTATCCCAACTGCACATGTCAACAAGGGGCTAATCCAAAATGCAGCTTTTATAGCTCTTGAAGGATAGCGGAGGGTGATCCATTGCCAAGTGAAAGCTACAATTGCACTGCAGGCTGTTGCTGTCAGGAGTGGTGGATACCACTTCTTGGGGTGGAAGTGATGTCTATGTGCAGAGAGCAGGCCACGGACGGTGAGGAAGATTACTAGGATGGCAGTTAGGATTATGTGCAAGAAGAAAAGGACTCGGAAGAGCCTCTGAACGAATTGCCGTGCCGCCACTGTTGCTGTCTCAATGTGAGCGTTTGACTCTTGAGCCTGCAAGAAAAAGAACAGTTAAGATTTATACTGGAGTAAACTCTGAGTAGATGCTATATGAAATTACTGAAAGAGGAATAAGGGAAAAAGATCAAGAAGAACATTTAAGAATCAAGAAAAGAACTGTTACCTAGATAAGAAAGATTTTATTGAAGAGGAAAAAAAGATCAAGTTAAAGAACAAGAAATGAGTTAGAGAATTGCATAGATTCTTGATGAAAAGGAAGAAAAATAAAAAGCAAAAGCAAAAAAAATAAAATAAGGTTTGTGAAGAGTTAGAGAGAGAGAGAGAGAGAGAGAGAGAGAACCTTGACCGGGTTTGTAGATGGAAGTCTATCTTCTCGAACTTGAATTAGGAAGTTCTGCATATTAATACCTGTAGTAATGCTGAATTCTCTATTTCTTTCCATAGCTACCTTTAAATTTCTTAGTACTCTTTATTTCTTTAAATCATTTTCTTGGTTTCTTTCACTTTCTTGGCACCCACAATGTATTGACTAATCTCACAAACATACTATTCCATTACAGGAAAAAAGAATTCTCTAATCTCAAGAACTCAAATTATTCATATATACTTGAACAAGTCAAGCTATGGTTATTATACATAATACCAGTCAAAAGTCGTCGTCTTCGATAAAATCTTTAAATATTGCATGAAACAAGCCTAGTCTTGCTCCTTCACATGTCTTTGAAGTTTCCAACTATTTTATTTCATTTGATCACGTATTTGCTTGTGTGTGGGATTTGGTTTTGTTGATGTGGGCTGATGACGTGGCAGGCAGAGGAGGTAGGGACAGTTCAGGTCAGCCATGGTGACTTGTGGAAGAGGGTCTTCTCTCTGTGTTAGTCCTAGACCTCGTGATTTAGTTGAGCTTTTTTTTATTTTTTCCATGGTCTTTATTTAATATTTATCTTTTTCAATTAAAGAAAGTAAAAAAAAAAAAAAAAAAAAAAAAAAAAAGGAAAAGGGAACCAACCATTTTCCTTTTTTAAAAAAAAAAAAAAAAAAAAAAAGGAAAAGGGAACCAACCATTCCTTTTTTTTTTAAAAAAAATTACAGAGAGGTGTTTTGTTAGGTTCAACTACTAACTAATTTTTGTTCTTTTGTTAATGTTACTCTTAGAGTCTTATCCTTTGATGGAAAGTTCTAAAAGAAGAGTAAAAATTTCTTTCTTTCTACTTCTTGCAAGAAATATTGTGTATTTGGATCCAAAACCTGCAATTTGTGCAGTTTAAAATATAAAATTACAAATAGAATTGATTTTTAAAATTTTTATATTTTTTCAAATCAAATCAAATTTTTAATTATTAAAATCATAAATTCAATCAATTTGAATTGATTTGGACTGTTTAAGCTGTTTATGGCAGTTGATGAAGAACCCAACGTGTGAGCAAGACATAAGGAGGACTCGTTTTAGGTGAAATGGATTAGGGGGAAAAAAGAAAACAGCTCCAATAATTATAGTTTCATTCCATTGTTATTTGCCAAGTGTTTATGTTTACTTTTGTTTTATTTATTAATTTTATAATTTTTATTATTAAGGTTTATTGGTACGGTTGCTGGTTTATTGCAGTCCAAATCTCACCCAACCAAATTTTTTAAACCACCAAATCTAATCCCACTCTCAGTTTGTGTTTCTACATATACAATTTCAATTTTTTTTATATTATAAAAGAGGCACTTGAAATATAAAGCTAATAAAATTGATTTTTTGGTCAATAGTTAAAGTAATTACAATCAGGTTATTCAAGATATAGAAGAAAAAAATAATAAAACTAACTATTTTCAATTTTTATATTTCATATTTTTATTGGTTTTAAATATTTTCATCATACGATACGATGAAAATAAAAAAAAATGTCACGCTCAACTTCAACCAACAAAGAAATTGCTCACTTTATATTCAATTTCATCCCACTGGATTGGCAAGACCCGGGAACTTTCCAAGAAGTCACCTAAGAGTTCTTCCACTCTTTAATCCATTCAACCAAAAGACCCATTTAATGATTGGTTTTACATTTTCAATATATGATCCGATTCATTTGTATGTCCCGTATTTCACTACCGATAGTTAGTTTGTCATTATATAGCTAGTCAGGAGTTTTGCTCTACGTATTCTTTTAAAATCACTTTGCCGGGTCGGAATGTCACTAAAAATGTCTTACTATTTTTCATCGGCAATTCGATAAATTGATTATAAATTCAAAATTTATGCCCTATATTAATTTTAAAAATAATTTTTAATCGGATTCACTATTTCATAAAAATTTCGAAGTCAAATTTAGCATTTATCATTTGTGATAAGTATTTTTCATGAATATATAACCTAAAATGGTAGGTAGGGAAAAGAAAAGAGATATGATATGTTTTTCCGTAAGTGTGTGATTATGAAATATTAAATTACAAGAAAGCAAACCCCACCTACTTGCAATTTTAGGATTTTGCATTCATTAGTTCTTTTTTTAGCATCAGCTGCCTGAATTGTTAAACTACAATTTCCAATTACTTTGATCATTGAAATTATTTGGGAGATTTGATACAAAATCCTTTAAATTAAAAATACTAGCAAGTTGATCCAGTGGGATGAGACTTCAGATCATTTAAATAATATTCAAAGTTCAAATCCTGGCATTGTGAATAGAGAAAAACTGATTTGGAAAGATCACTCTCATAATAGACTTCTGCAGAACTCGAATCTGAATTAATTGGCTATGCTGGATGCCGAGTTTTTTAACAAAAAAAATTATCAATCTAATACAAATAAAAAAAATAAAATTATTTCTAACAGTGGGTTGAACCATACTGGGCCTTGAGGGACTACAAAATCGGCCCATCCCCTTCACAATCAACACGAGTAAACTGGAGCACTGGACCATCTCTACACTCCATCAAACCCTCTCATTATATTTATGTTAACATTTACTTTAAATTTATTATTATTTTAAAATCATCTGAACATGATTTATTGTCTACTTTGGGACTTCATATTCTTAAAACTCCAATAGATAGGCTCCCATATTGACTGTATCATGATGTTATTAATATAGTTCATTCTAAAAAGAGTAGTAATTAGTTCTTTATATTTTTTTTTTTATATAAAAAAATCGATAATTTTAATTTAAGATTTGACAATGATTTGAAACTCGATTATAAAATTATCAAACTTTTCATCATATTTTATGTTATATGTTGTAAAAATGATCACACCTTAACTCTTAATATTTGAAATATAATTAGACTTTACTTCATTAGAATCTTTTGTCTTAAAACTGAAAATTCTAACATTGAAAGAAATAGAAAATTAAATATATACTAAAACAAATCTAAAAAAAAAAAAAAGCCATTAAATATATTTTTTTTAATTGAAAGAGCCATTTGGTAACGCCCGACTGAATTGAAACACATATCAATTTTCAACTAGTTCCCAATTCTCTTTCAACTGGGAATTGAAGTCCCATAAATTTGGTAACTTTGCTTTTGCACATTTCAAGCTAACCCCAGAGTCTCCATAACACCAACTAATATGGTGACAATTGCAGGCCTTCCGTTCGAAGTAAGGAACCTTGTCCAAAACTAGAAGTTCTATTCCATCCCACTCCACAAAACTGCTTTTTTTTTCTTTTTTCTTTTTCTTTTTGTTTTTAATTTCTTTTATCATTCTCCACCGCTGTCCTCGTCTTTAATAAGTCCCTCCACCGTTAACAGCTTAAAACTACCTTTCTCCTCTTAAAAACCCAACTGCCTCTTCTCTAAAAATCTTACCTTTGAACTTTCTTAGTTTCTTCTCGCTAACTCATGAAATGGGTGTCAAAACTTTCACCATTTTCTTCATGGTAATCTCAGTTCTTCTGTTTTTCCTTTACATTCCAATAAAACTAACAGTACCCATTACGAGATTTACTCCAGTAATCAACTTAAACATGCTCAAAGACCAAAAACCTTATCCAGCAACCTTTGCTTACTTAATATCAGCATCTAAAGGTGATGCAGGGAGGCTAATGAGGCTTTTGAAGGTACTTTACCATCCAGGGAATTATTATTTGATTCATGCGGATGCTGATGCACCAGAAGTGGAACATAAAGCAATATTCGATTTTGTGTCCAATAATCCAGTTTTTGATCTTGTGGGGAATGTTTGGATTGTGGGGAAATCAAATATAGTTACTTATAGAGGCCCTACTATGCTTGCTACCACTCTTCATGCCATGGCAATTTTGTTGAGGACTTGCAAATGGGACTGGTTCATTAATCTCAGTGCCTCTGACTATCCCTTGGTGACCCAAGATGGTATGGTGAGTGCCTTTTTTATTATTATTATTATTATTATTATTATTTTAATATTAGCATTAGCATGTATTCTATTTTTTTTGCCCAAATATTTTTTCTTCCTTTTTTTCTGTATATTTATTTTTTTCGAATCTCCCATAATGTGATTTAGTGACCCAACTTGTTTTCAGATCTAATTGATGCCTTTTCCGGCATACCTAAAGATCTCAACTTTATACAGCATAGCAGTCATTTGGGATGGAAACTGTAAGTTCTTTTTCTCTTTTCCTGAATATCTTTTTTGGGTTATAAATCTTATTGTTTTTATGTATAGAGAACGACATTTTAACAATTGAAGAAATTTTATGTATTTTTATTCAGGAATAAGAGAGCTAAGCCAATTATAATAGATCCAGGGCTTTACAGGCTCAACAAATCAGAGATATGGTGGGCTATTAAACAGAGGAGTCTCCCAACTGCTTTCAAGCTCTATACAGGTTTTTCCCCAATCTTTTACTTCTTTCCAGCAGGACCATGCTTTTGGTAGTATTTTGGCGTCCACTCCCTTCAATACGTCAATACGCTATAGACTCCATAAATGGGATTGTTTTATTTATTTGGAATAGAAAATTACAAACAAATTCAGAGCCTGTACTTATCACTAGCATGTGAAATCTCTGAGTGCAGGGACAGTATGCACCTGGTACTCAGCTTAAAGTTCTAAAATTTAATAATTAAATTTTATGGGTTTTTCATTTGGGCCCCCCGTGTTTGGATGGATGTATGTGAAAACTTTTCCAGGTTTCCAATTTCTAAATTTTATCTTGTATTATCTAGGTTGTCATTATATTAGGCCTTCAGCAGCAGGAATCTTGTGTTGCTCAAAATCTGAGGGCTGGGTAGATCAAATCATGTCTTTTTATTTAAATGGGTAAGAAAATAGTATAATAAAAACAGAACCTCCCTTTTCTTTTCATTTGAGTAGAGGTCCAAGTTTGCATAATCTAGCCAGCTATCAAAATTTCATTTTAATCAACATTCCTCTCATTTTAAGTCATGCTTGCTTGTTTGCTTCCACTGATAGTTGATAAGACCTTGGACCTAATTAATGTTAGCATCAACAAACTACAGTAGTCTTAGAATCAAAGTTAACACTTTAAAGATCAAAATCAACTTGTAGCTAATTGGTTAGGCTGTCTATTTGTTTATCCAAACCTTATTCCTTCGAAGTATGCTTAAAAGTGACATCAATTGGGGGAAGTTATTAGACAATTGGAATCAACTTCCAATTTCAGAATGAAAGAATTTTCAAAATTAAATAATATTGGAATTAACATTGTTCTATCGTTGCTTTGCCCATGCACATTTGCTTATATGCATATTTATAAATGTGGCTGCTAGGTGTAATAATGCTTGTCGCATTAGTAACATCACAATATTCAAAAATAACTCATCTTGAAAATGGAAAAGAGGGTGGGAGTGTAGAAAAGTGTATAAATTGAGAGATTAGATTTGAGTAAGAACAAGCTGGCACATATTTGTTCTATAATGAAAGGTTGATATGTTCTCTATTTCTCTTTCAAACAGCTGTAATTTTTGTGGTTGTCCTATCTTTTCTTTATCTTAGTGTATGGGTCCCATTAGATAAGTTGCTGTTCATGCTAGCTAGGCATTCATGTCATAATACTCTTAATTAGAATATATATACATATATTTGGAATTTCAACCTACCTAACCATATATATGGTTCCATAATTGAAGTAAACAAGAACTCACTATAACCTGAAAATTGCCATGAAATCACAAATAAGAATAATCATATACAGGTTAGATTTCCAGAGAAGTGCTTGATGGGGTCAAGGTGGCAGCTCCATGATCCAGAAAGTGCACATGCCAAAACCCAAGTGATGTTGGGAAATACATGTGCTTTACTGCTCGTACGGATAACTTTTATATTTACAATGATGAATCTCTCAAAATATATAAGATTAAGAAATTTATTATTATTATAGAGACAGTCTTTATGGCTCTTTAATCACTCAACAAGCCAAGTATCTTTAGAATGATTTTAAAAAGCAAGTTTGCAGAAAGAAATTAATATTTATTGCCTTTACTTAAAACAAATGTACAGGATCAGCTTGGACAATACTGTCAAGATCTTTTGCAGAGTACTGCATTGTGGGTTGGGACAACTTGCCGAGAACTCTCCTGCTCTACTACACTAATTTTGTATCCTCGCCAGAAGGCTACTTTCAAACGCTAATATGCAACTCGGAGGAGTATCGAAACACTACAGCTAACCATGACTTGCACTACATCACTTGGGATACACCTCCTAAGCAACATCCAAGATACCTAGGGGTTAAAGATTACAGAAGAATGATCCTGAGCGGCCGTCCATTTGCAAGAAAGTTCAAGAAGAATGACCCAGTTCTTGACAAGATTGATCGTGAGCTTCTAAAGCGAAACAAAGGGGAGTTTACTTATGGTGGCTGGTGTTTGGGCAGTGGAAAGAGGCATAAAGCATGTTCAGGATTACAAAATGAGAAATATGGTGTTTTGAAGCCTGGACCAGGGTCAAGGAGATTGAGGAGTCTGCTCACAAAACTTGTTTCAGAGAAGAATTTCACTAAGAGGCAATGTAGATAAATTTATCTTTGAAAATCATAAAAGTTAAACAATTAAAATGGGTGTGTTGATTACCAGGCTGATTGATCTGATTTAACACGTGTAAAAAGCTATTGTGGGAGATGCTAGGTTCTTATAGTAAAATATTACGAAGTTCGAATCACCAGGATGAATATGGCCCGGTTTCTATATGTGTTCTTCTCCTAAATATAAGATTAAATAAATCATTTAAATTGATCTCCTTACTTGATAAAATTGTATTTGTGGTTGATGCTCCAGAACAGTGTTTCATTAGGTGTTGAATATGGACTAAAATGGTGATGGGTACGTTGATGAACAAACAGAGGTTTTATAGTTTCATAAGTATTTATCATCAAACATAGAAATGGCTTTTACCAATACAACTATCAAACTTATATTTTCCATTATAGTCTATAAGAATATCTATTTGTATCTTTCATTTTCATGCAACTTGATTGTTGCTCAACTCTAGTGATACTAGTGGTGCTTTCTTGTGCTGCAAATATGGCGATGAAGGCTCATAATCTTTGGTGGGTGGATTGAAACCAGGGATTGGGGCCTATTATAACGACATTAAAAGCAGTGGCGGAGACAATGGTAAAGGGGATAGCAAAGGAACTGGGATTACTGCAAATTGTGTCGCTCCCTGGTCGTGTTGCGACAGAGATGTATTTTGCCAGAAGGCTCAGGAGCAAATTCAGAAAACTTAGAGGAATGTCCACTAGGCCGGCTTGGCGAGACCAAGGACATTCCTAGGGAGTGGAGAATCGGAGATTACTCGTATTCCTTTTCCACCGTCTCCTTTCTTTCTTCTTCAGGAGGGAACAATGCGGCTCTTCTGCATGCATTGTCCTTAGAGGATGAACAAAATGGACCCATCATGTCAATGAGGATACAACTGATTGGAACCATCCTGAAAAGAATGAGTTTTTTTTCAAGTTAACGTTTGTAGTTGAAGTACAGGAATCAAGAACTTGTTTATTCAAATGAAAAAGAATTTTCTTTCTTTCTTGGGAGTTTCTTGTTTTTCAATAATGTCTTGCTAGTAGTTGTTCTCGGTTGAATCATACGCAGTTCTTTCCCGTTTAATTTTACTTATCAAGACAGAAATCAGGAATTGTGAAATCAGCAATTTTAGATACTTGCATTGCGTCACCTTTCTTTTTAGTTTTTTTTTTTATTTCTACCAATGGTCCAATGCAAATTGACAGTGAGATCAGTCTTTGATGCCTAACTTTGCTTTTTGCTTCTTGTTAGTCACTAATTTGAATTATATGGTTTCACCAATCTCCATTTACTCCTCGTGTTAGAAAGGAAGGCTACCTCGAGCCTCATATATATGGTCGGTTGGTCACTCGTCTAACGGTCACCTTCCTTAAATCTCCACATCAAGTCCATCCACTCACTTTGCCCCTTAAATGCACATACAAAAACAAGGTCCACTGCCCCATAAACAATATATAACGGTCACTTTTCTCACTTTTATCCATTCCCATTTCCCAGAGAGAGTTATTTTCGTTTTGCCAACTTTTTAAAGCTCAAATCCAAATAAAATTAAAGAACTAAATAATAAAAAATAATATTAATTAATACCCACGTTACAAAAACTAAAAACGGCTACCCGCAGTTCCTTCCACCAAGAAACTGCAACTGTCAAAACCCAAGTTTACAGAATCTGATCTGACAGCGACGGTAGTCGCCGGAAAAAATTCATAGGGACAGACGGCATGTCGTCGCGGAACCTTGGGTGTCGAACGTAATAGAATCCAGACCCTAGCACAAACAACCTAAATGGAATCACGTAAAATACCAGCGAAGCAACAAGGCAAAACACTACGAAAATCCCACTAGCTCTTGGGTCCCTCCAGTTAAACAAAGCCTCTAAACGCTCCCCTTGAGCTGCCAAATCGCCTAAAAGTGTCTGGGCCCTACCTGATAGGGCCCGCAATCTGTCGTATCGAATTTTGACCACATCAACCGGTCTTGTCGTTGGAAATCCATCAAACTCCTCATCAAGCTCGTCTGGACCCACAGCATCCACGTACGAAAGTCTCGGGTCCATACTGTTTGGGACCCTTCGTCGATAGCGAAATCTCAATGCTAAAATCAAGAAGGCGTACATGAATACGGTGGGGAGCAATAGATGTGGACATAACACAACAGCCACAAGCAATACATGAACTAAAACAGTAGTTGGTGGGTGTACCCACGTGCGGATCCCATCTAACCAACGTGCCAAAGTAGCCGCACGTGTGAGACAACCCACAACTCTAAACCAATTAGCCTTACTTCTCCTCATACTCCACATGTGCGTATCACTATCCAACATAAACTGAACCACTTCTTGACCCAATGGAGGCTCAGATCGGGCTAGCCGACCCGTGACTATCCGCATCGCCGTATGCCGCAATATGTCTTGTTGGGCTGGACCCAATGGCCTCACATAATGCATTCTAGGTAGCATTGGAGTGGTGTACGCTTGGATTAAACTCAGCCACGATGAACATGAAAATCTGACGGCTATCTCAATCTCTCCCATTTTCTTGGCCCCACCAGGAAGCAACACGGTAAGCGAATAAGAGTTTAGGTATACCCGGTTCGTATCGAGTGTTGATAAGCGTATACGTATTTTCCCTACCCTCGCATCTTTTCCTGGTTTTCCTGCTTCGTCTTTCTTGTACCTTCCATTATCGAACACACCAATGGTAAGTACAGTACACGGATCGTATACATCCCATGTGTATTGCTCATTCCACCGTGGATTAAATCGATCAAGGACCGTACGGGTACGAACCCACTTGGGCCCATATTTTGCCACCACATAAGCATCGGTAGTGCCACGTGTGCCGTCTTTAGTTTTAACTGGCAGTAGATTAGTGGCCCCTCGAATCCCAACCTCTAATAACCCAATAGGAGCCTTGGCTAATTGTTTAGCCGAAGCTCGAACATCGCTAGTCACGTGAGCTGCCTCATCTAGCACGTGATAACCACCTTCTAAACATACCTTCACGTGTATTCTCCCTGTGTACGGCCTATTCTCATCGCCAACCATGTTAAACCATCTTGACTTTGCCTCCGTACGATCATCGCTGCGCCGTTCGATGCTTGCCGTGGGTATTTTAGTATGGCCAACCGGTTGAGAATTGGTCACGTCTTCCACTGTCAATGCCAAAAACGGCTCAAACGGCTCAGCCGCCACAAAGACTAAATCCTCATTCCACGTGGGATTAGCCGAGCTGGAGGAACAAGACCCACCAGAAGTCCTACCCGTTTTGAAAATCTGCGCCCCAAGTTGAGCCTTAACATACAGCTCTGGACTCCGAGCCTTAGGTTCGGTTGGCGAAGCTAGCTGCAAATCCTGGGTTTGGATAACCGTTAATCTCAAATACCAAAGCTTCGGTGACAAGTACACCTTGGCTCGGGTCTCGGGTATTAGCCCACCAGAATCCGACTGCCAAGCCTCCTGAAATGCCTCATCTGCCTGAGTTCCGACCCAAACTGCAAGCATGACGTCATTTCCCGGTGACTTCTCAGATTCCAAACTGTACCATTGAGGAGCTAGAGGACTGTCAGGAGGTACTCTTTTTGGAACCTCCTGCAAATCAAACGACACCGTGCCTAGGCAACTCTCTGTTTTCTCCTCGTTCTCTTTCTTCTCTTCTGCCCATACAGAAACCTCCAAAGAAGTTGAATTCAGTCCCTCCTTATCAAAAGCAAAAACGTGGTCCCAGTCTCTGTCACTATGGCTCTTGGTTTTGATACTATGTGTACCGATCGCAAGCTTTGCATATATAGGAGGATTAGATTCAGAGCTTGCTCTTTTGGCCTTTACAACTCGAACATATAAAAATGGCATGCGATCTACCAGATCATAGGCACTGTGGCCGCGATCGCTAGCCAGTGATCGGAGCTCGAGGTCGTTGATTGTGAGATCGGAACTTTTCCCACTATCAACTTTTTTATCCTTTTGCTCCTTTAAACTCTTCTCACTGTGTGCCAACGGTGGATTTTCCACTTCTGGCACTACTGGCGGTGACGCTGGAGAAGCCTCCTCCGATTTTTTTGACTCGTTTTCCTCCGGCGGCGGACTTGGTTTCTCCTCTTCATTTTTAGCTTCCGCAGTGGACTCAGTTTTTGGTTCTTCATTTTTCTCTTCTTCTTTCTTCTCTTCAGCTTTCTCTTCCTTTTTTTCTCCTTCTGCTTTTGCTCCATCCTCAGCTGGCTTCTCCTCCACTGAAGCCGGAGCAACCGTTGCTGGTTTTTGGTCTGGCGCTGCAGCCGGTGGATCCTCATCAATATAATAAACTTTCAAACCGATCTCTCCCTTAATCTGTGAAAATACGCTTCTTTTTTCCAATGGATAGTAAACCAGAGTCTCGGATCCAGCTTTAACAAATCCAGCCCCAGCAATTTTAACTTTACCAAGAAAAGTGCTTCTTTTTCCCGTTTTCTTATCGTTATAGAGATTGATCTCTAAAATCTCCATAGCCATGGACTCTGTATCATGGACCAGAAATTCAAGCTTTTCGTCCCACTCTGGATTCAGATCTCTGAACTTTGTCTTCGTCCTGCGCCGCTGGCCGTCGTAGTCCACGATAGCATAAGCACTGGCTGTGCCTTGACCGTCCTTCGGCATCAGATTCTTGGCGTTACAAACTTCAACAATCAGCTTTCTAGTGCAAGTTTCCGCCATTATTTTTTCAAAATGAGAGATTATTGATGGATTAGACAAAGCTTTAGTTAGAATTGATTGCAGAGAAAAAATAAAAACAGAGAAGAGAGTGAGGCAGTAGACTAGAGACAGAGAAGAGATACCGTTGATTATTTGATATGAAATGGAATAAGAGGGGCAAGGTGGGTTTAAAAGTCGGGCAAAGGAGCGTGGCCACGTCGGACAAGACACGTAAGACAAATAAACGCAGAACACGTGGAAAGAGAGAGATAGGTGATCAGCGTGCCTGGTGCTGATTATTATTATTATTATTACTATTGGGGTTAATGGGGAAGGTGCCTTTTATTTATAGGTTAATTACAGTTTTAAAATTTTTTTTTATTAATTTTATTAATTATTTTTTGTGTTTATTTCACTTTTAATTTATGGGTTTTGAATTTGACAGATGAAATCATGGAGTAACTGTGACCATAAGTAATGATAACTGTGTGAAAAGAGGAAACAGCAATTACGTTTTTACATCAAATTGAAGTTAATGATTGTTTCTTTTCATCTTTTGCTTTTATGATTTTCTTACTGGCTTGCTTTTCACTTTTATTTTTTGTAATTATTTTGGATTAAGCAGGAATTATTCCATTTCCTTATGATTATATCACATTTATTTGGTTAACCTGTAAAATTACTTCTTCTTCTTTTCTTTTTTTCCAATTCTAAAAAAATGCACTTATTAGTCTCTCGGATTTAACTCAATTAAATTATTTAATCCTTTTGTTTAATAATATTTGACTATTTAATTATTTATGCTATTTAATAACATTTTTTAATATAAAATGAGTTACCAAAAAAATAAAAAATAAACATGTGCCATTTTTTAATAATGTAGACTGATTGTTTGTAACAATTACCATATACTAATAATACAAAAAGAATCCATACATAGATCAGAGATTCTCATAAAAGTCAGTTAAGTTGGCATTTAGCAATTTGCTAAACAACATCTTAAAAAAAACAAAAAAAAAAAAAAAAAAAAAAACAAAAAAAAAAAAAAAAGAGGTGAAAAAAAAAAAAAAAAAAAAAGAGAGTGGCCACTTGCAACCCATCTGCAAAAATGAACGTTGCTTTGTTCTTGTGCTCGCAGCTCTTCTTTTATGTCAGATACACAAAAGGCGAGTAAATAACGAAAGCAACATGTTCATGTTCTTACAGTAAGCAAGCTTTCACTCTGTTCTTCTCCTTTTGTTTTCTTTTTTAACAACAATTCAGTCGATTCGATGCAAACATTAATAGAATCCCCATGGATCTGACAGATGCTTGTTTATATAATAATATAGAATCTTGATTGTGGATTGCGACCTGATTATTTTTTTTCTTGTTCTCAATGCTGATACGATCTGATTTAGCTTAATAAATTCTTAATTAAACTAATTGAACAGTGTTAGTGTATCTTTAGATTAAAACGAAGCTCAACAACCAACATGGGAACTTGGTTTGACCCTTCTAAATGGCATCACATTCCATTCGTAGTGGCCAAATGGAACAGTGAAGGTAGTTTTATATCTATCTTTCTCAGCTATTTGCATCTGCTAATAACCAGATTTCATATCAAATTTAGAAAAAATATTTACTTCATAGAGTCTATTTAATAGGTCTCGTTTGTTAGGAAAAGGATATCTAATCCATCGTAAAGCCTTATTTAAAGGCTTATAATTAATGACTAGCCTAGGGAGAGTTCTATTCAGCTCGCAGAATTGTTCATAGATGGTTATAATCTTATGAGGCATAACAATAGGAAAAAGGACCCAGTTGTAAAACCATTCTCGGAACCAGAGGGGAAAGTCCCATTCATCTTTAGCCAAATTAAAGGCTATAAACCAACTAAATTTTTGTTGGCGATTATCATAGCAAAGGGCACCAGACCATGCATCCATTTAGTCAAAATAATTAAAATACCTGGGACGACATTGATGTAATTCTTTAGTCTAGAAAAGATCGGTTCCCCAATCTTCTTGAGTGAATACTCGCTTAATGATAAACTTACTGTATGCCCACTCGCCTTCTCCTCTAACAACAGGAGAAAAGATGACAGAGCCCGTGGCTTCTAGAATTGCTTGATAAAAGAGATAATCTTTAGGCAAATAAGGATGGGTAAAATGATTCTTGGTATAGATTTTTGCAAGTTCATGAGGTGCCATACTACGCTGTTCATGAGTAATTGGCATAAGAAAAATATGATTCAGTGTAATTAATGGCAGATCATCTTCATGAGTTCCTAGGACACTATTTTCATAAGCATCAGATCTTGGTTTGTCTGGATCTTGAGACAAGGACGAAGAAGCTTCAATTCTTCTTTTGGAACTCATCTTTTGGTAATGTTCCTGTAAGAAATTCACGTGTTAGAAAATCCGGGAGAGAATTATTTTCTCCTCTGATAAATTCAATATCGAAATCAAATACTGATAAAATTGCTTGCCATCGGGCAAAGATTTGCTTGGAGGCAATATTTTTTACATCTTTCAGTAGAATTTCTTTTGCACTTTTGCAATCTACTCTAATTAAAAACTTTTGATTGAGTAGATCAGATTCAAATTTCTGAACACAAAGAACTATGGACAAAATTTCTTTTTTGACAGTAGAGTAATTAACTCGAGGTCCTGTCCATATATACCACTAGTAAAACGTACTAGTGTTTCATTATTATTTATTCTTTGTTTAAGAATTCCTCCATAGCCTTTATCAGAAGCATCAATTTCTACAATTTTAAAGGCTTCTGGATGAGGAATTGCTAAGCACGGTAAAGTCTTGACATGTGCTTTAATTCGTTTAACAGTTAGAGTATGTTCATGACTCCATGTTGGCGGATTCTTTTTCAATCGTTCAAATAATGGCTTTGCATCTTGAGCCAGTTCTTTATAAAATTCCGAGACATAATTCAAGCTTCCTAGGAATCTCCGTAATTGAGTTTTATCAGTAATTACATCAGGAAATTTATTGGCAAACTCAATTGCTCTATCTATAGGAAGGATTGTATTATTTTCTATAATGTGTCCAAGAAATCTAATTCTTTTTTTTATGGCTGAGCAAGCAGATTATCTAAGAAGCGAACAGTCAATAGAAGAATGTTCAAGATCATAAGAAAGGGCCTGTAAGGGAGATGAATACTCTGGAATTGACCATGAGAGGTGTGAAGAGTTTTATAAGCAGAATTTAAGCCAGCTAAAAAGTGTTGATTAGTGAAATCAGGGAAAGTTTTATGTTTCAAACCAAACATGTGTTGAAGAAACGTACTAAAGTCTTTAGTACCACCATCTTTGAGTTGATAAGTGTTATATTTCTTTAGCCAGTAGGCTTATGCTAAATCACTGAAATTCATTCGAAACCATTTATCAAATGGTGTAAGATCGTGATCTAAAACCATGATTTTGAATGGTTGGGATTTCACACTTTCTTTTTCATAGCCCATAACAGATGGAGTCGGGCTTTTAATTTCATAAGTGGGTTGAACTATGTTTTCATCAGTTCGGTTTAATCCACTAATGGAATTGGATCTCTGCAATGGTTCATAAGATGATATAGAAGTTCGAGGTGGAATAGAATAGGAAGGTGTTGGGCTAGGGATATCTGAAAACGATTTTCTTGTGCCCAACTTAACAGTTCTATTTCTTGAGAACCGTAAAGCTACAGATTCTTCTTGAATTGGAACAGCTTGTTCCACAGTTTTCACAATATAATCAGATTTAAAAACAAAGTTAGTATTAGATTTATATATCATACTAGAAGAGACTGTAGGTAATTTCCAATTACTTAAAGTAGCATCTAGATTTTCTGCTAAAATAACTTCTCATAAAAGTCAGTTAAATTGGCATTTAGCAATTTGCTAGACAACATCTTAATAAAAAAAAAAAAAAAAAAAAAATAAAAAGTCAGTTAAATTGGCATTCTAGCAATTTGCTAGACAACATCTTAAATAAAAAAAAAAAAAAAAAAAAAGTGGCCACAAAAAAAAAAAAAAAAAAAAAAGTGGCCACTTGCAACCCATCTGCAAAAATGAACGTTGCTTTGTTCTTGTGCTCGCAGCTCTTCTTTTATGTCAGATACACAAAAGGCGAATAAATAAAGAAAGCAACATGTTCATGTTCTTACGGTAAGCAAGCTTTCACTCTGTTCTTCTCCTTTTGTTTTCTTTTTTAATAACAATTCAGTCGATTCGATGCAAACATTAATAGAATCCCCATGGATCTGACAGATGCTTCTTTATATAATAATATAGAATCTTGATTGTGGATGGCGACCTGATTATTTTTTTTCTTGTTCTCGATGCTGATACGATCTGATGTAGCTTAATAAATTCTTAATTAAACTAATTGAACAGTGTTAGTGTATGTTTAGATTAAAACGAAGCTCAACAACCAGCATGGGAACTTGGTTTGACCCTTCTAATTTTGTTTCTGCTATTTTTTTTTTTTTATTCCAGAGTGAATTATGTTTATCTAGGATGAAGCAGATCGATTTTTTCTTTTGACACAGCAATTTTTGTATACAAAATTTGCAATTTTTGCATACAATTTGACATAGCCATCACCAAATATGAAGAGTAGATTGTAATTTCTTTGAATTATTATTTTGATGTCAAATTTGATACTTGCACATCCTTTATTATTTATTAAAAATTTTCAATGGTTGATAAAAATAATAGATTTAAAAATTTAATAATATTATAAATTTTTAAATAAATGATATTATTATTTATGAATTTGTGTAATGCGTGCATGGTATGATAAATGAGAGTAATTTTTCACATCATAAAATAAAAAGCAAAGAAAAGCAATTATACATTGAAAAATAAAGAAAAAAAGTAATAAGAGATTATAAATTATTTATAGGAAAATAAAGAATAAATAAATAAAATTATAACAAATGGATCATAAGTTTTACTCATGGTCATTTATACTGCATGATCCCTTATTCTAAAAGGTAAATTACTATTTAGGTTCCCTGATTTTATTTTTTTCCTTTTTATCTATTCATTAAAATTTTTCAATTATAATAATGGGTTAGAAAGTAGGTCACTTTATTTTAATTTTGGATTGAGATTTTTAATTTTACTCAAAAATTCTATATTATTTTTTTAAAACGTAAAAAATTATATATTGTTATTTATTATTATATTATGATTTTAATTTTTATAAATCTATATCTACTTGAGATAAAAGCTTAAAAATCCGATGGAACTATTAAATACTATAATTGTAAATGAATTATTTTAATTTCTTTTAGCAAAATGAATTATTGTATTACCGTTTCATCAAATGTTAATTTTTTATAATTCGCTTTTTTAAATTTTAAATATTAATAAAAATGTTACGTCAAACAACTATGAATAAAATAAGGGAAAATTATTATTTAGTCCCTCAGATTTTACATAATTATCTAACTAATCTCGAGGTTTACGCTAATCTATAACTAGTCCCTCAGGTTTAACTCCGTCTAATTAAAAGGTCATTCCGTCGGAAAAGTTGGTTTTTTGCCGTTAATTGAAGACTAAAATACTAAAACACCCCTAAAACACCCCTTCCTCGCTGACGTGGACCAGTATGACCTTCCTTCCAAGCCAGGGAAACTCTCTCAAGCTGTTGATTACTAAAAAGAATAAGAGTTAATAACAAAGAAGACTGCTTGAAAGTTCCAAAGTAAATAGGACTATGATTCTCAGATTCTAACACAGATACAAATTTGATGAACTATAGCAATAAACTATAACAAAAATTGGGGAAAAATATTATAACAATGAAATTTACTATTTATTGCCAATTCAATATTAGTTTTAACAAACCACACAACAACGACAAGCAGAAAAATACATGCATTAAACAGAACACTACAAGCCTATTTATGAATTTAACACAACTAAAAGCCACCAAAACTCATATTAAAGAATAGATATGAAACTGTAAATCAACTATCACCATAAAACTTTGGCGCCCCATTTAAACCAAACAGAATAGGTAAAAGCAGGAAGAAAGAATAATAAAAAGAAACCATAAATGCTAACCACAAAGGTAAAAAGAAAACCATAGAAATCACTAAGCAAGGAATTCAAGTACGCGTCAACTAACTCAATCAAACTTGCAAGGAAATAAAATCATTGGCTTGTTTGAGAAAACAAAAAGCCACAGTACAAATTCGTGGAAAACAAAATATATCAGAGAAAAAAACTATTGAGCACATCCAGCATGCGACTTGGGCTTTGAACAAATTCCCACAGAGTATATTATATTAAGAACCAATACATCAGAAAAAACAAACAAAGCAAGAAAAAAACAATCACTTAGCAACTGCAGAAGTTCTGAAGCCTAACACATAGCAATTCAGGTAAAGAAATGGGAAATTGGAAAATTTACGCGTGTGTATGAAAATAAGAGAAAGATTGAAGCAATAAACAGCTAAGAATCTCCATTATGATTAAAGGAAAATGAGAAAAGTATGAAAATAAGAGAAAGATTGCAATAAACAGCTAAGAATCTCCATTATGATTAAAGGAAAATGAGAAAAAAAAAAAGCATAAAAGAGAAGCAGATATACCCGGTGAAGAAAATTTAGGGTAAATGTCGAGAAAGGGAGTGGATCTTAGAAATGGCTGTAGACATCGTTGAAATAGAGAAGAGACGAAATGATGATAATGGAGAATAGAGGACACACCAATACATATTCACATACCTTCCTTCCCATGCTCCATCGGCTACCCTTGAAGAAGACATGTAGGCTGTCGCTTGTTACCTGCAAATGAAATGGAGAGCTTTTGTTTTTTTCCTTTTTTCCTTTCTCTGCGTTTTGTGAGAAAGAAATTTGGTCAAACCTCCTTTATTTTCATGCACAGTTCAGTAAGGGCATTTTTCGTCGTTATAAAATGTCTGCCTCTGTTTTGAACTGATTTTAACGAAAAAAATCAACTTTTCGGACGGAAGGACCTTTTAATTAGACGGAGTTAAACTTGAGAGACTAATTATATATTAGCGTAACTTTAGAATTAATTAGATAATTATGTAAAACATTGAGGAACTAAATAATAATTTTCCCATAAAATAATTAGTGTTTTAATGAAATCAATCACAGCATTATACGCACGTCGTCGTTACTCTCCCTTAACTTTTTGCTCCATAATTTTCAAGGTAAAGATTGAGTAAGGTCAAGTCTATCTATTTCAAACACGTGGATGTTTTACAACGGTTTTAGGAAGTATCAGAGCATCAAAATTGTACATCTCACGCTAGGTTAACTGCCCCTGATAATTTCTCTGTTTTTTCTGTTTATTTCAGTTTCCACTGTCCCCGAACCCTAAACCCTATTATTAAATTATCTTGTCCTCTCTTCTTCCCTCCAAATTTGGCGAGGACAATTTCCTGTTCGTCGCCGAGAAGACAACGGAAAAGATTTTGATAGGGAATTTGAAATTACATTGTTTGTAGAAATAAGGTAATCAGACAGAGCTTTGATTTTCGAAGTTCTGAGTGTTAATTGTTTGCATTCGAAATATGTAATTTAAAGATTTCTTTTTGTTTGTTTGTTTGTTTGTAGATTTTTATTGTATTTTTTTAAGATGGTGTATTGTAGCGCCTGCGGAAGAAATGTTCCTGGAGTCCGCGACAATGTGGGCGCCATGTAAGTTGTTCGTGTGTGCATTACTTGATTGTTTTGATATCTTTTTATGTTTTCGTTTGGTGCTTTTCCCTTCATCTCTCTGATTTAGTTTGTAAATCTTGTTGAAGATTGATTTCGGAGCTTAATTTGTTTTACTTTTTTTTTTTTTATTCGGTTCTGTTGTTCAGTTCCTGTGATGAATGCGGTAGAGTTCTGAGGTATGATAATTATTCAGAAGAAGTCCAATTTACGAAAACTAAAGATGGAGGGGTATGCTATTCCACCTTGTTACTGTATTGTCCCCCTTTTTTAATCACTGCCTTCTTTTTTTTCTCGATCAATAGAAATATTGATGTTTTAGACACAAGGTCACTGAGAAATATTCCTAATATCATGGGTTTGTGTATCAGTTTAGCTAATTCCCACTTATGATTGCATTCGCACTTTGGGTTTATGAGTACAAACGATAATATGCAAAAAAATAGAAAATATATTAGATATAAGTTGCTTTATTCTTCACTGCACTTGTGAGATTGATTGCCATGAAAATTTGCCAACGAAGAAGCACAGATGAATCTCAGCATACTAAAGTAAGTGGAACAACCAAAAAAGGAAAAAATGGTTAAGTCAGTTTAGTGCAAAGTATTGCTTCAAAAAAATAGTTGCCAGATTCTTGTTAGTCCTTGTTATTTTTCTTCAACCGTTTTTGCTCACGTTAAACAACCTGTTTTCTGTCTGATATGTGAACATCTAGATATATGTGTGAGATTGACATGATTAATATTACTTTCCCCCAATACATTAGCGAACTTCTTTGAAAAAAAAATAAGTACATTAAAACAAACGTTTCCTTTAATACCTTTCATTTTTATTCTTATTAATTTCTGCTATTTGTAGAGCAAAATGGCAGGAAATATCTTAAGGTCTGTTGAAAGTGAAAACTCATCAAGACAAAGGTTGTTTGACAGAGGTATGCTTTGCTTTGTTAGTTTGGCTTTGACCATAACATGTTCATCGATTTTGGAACCAATTTGCTCATGAATTAAAGTCAAATGCTCAAAGTTCTTTTGCTTCTATATTCAGAGACTCCTTTTCATTATACTAAGCTTAAAGAGCTTCCCTGGGTTATAGGCTAGAAGTCCAGACAAGAAATGTTCTTATGGATTTTCTCATTCGTGATGGAAAACTTCATTGGCTCATTTATTTTTCAATAGATTTTAAGTACTTGAATTTTTATTTATTTTTTCCTGGTTTTGTAGAAGAGCTTTCTTGAGAACCCCTTTCTTTTGGCTTTTTATCTTATAAGATAAGTTAGTTACTACATGAACTTTCCTTTTCAATTTTTAGGTCTTAGGTTACATTTATCCTGTGTACCTTGAGTATACTTGGTTTACAATCCTTGACCAAAAAAAAAAAAAAAAAAAAAAACTGTTGTACCTTGAGTATACTTGGTTTACAATCTTGACCAAAAAAAAAAAAAAAAAAAAAAAAATCTGATTGATGGAACATTCCTAATTTTATTTTGAATGAAAAAAAAAAAAAAAAAAAAAAAATCTGATTGATGAACATTCTTAATTTTTAATTTGAATGTTTTTATTTTACATTAACAACTATAACAGAACCTTCTGATCATTGTTTTTGACAATCAAAATTTTTGGAACTTATCTTCGAAGTTTGAAGTTTCATTCTCATGTTAGTACTTGTGCAGAGTGAACACACTGATTGTTGTGAGAGCCTCACATTCTCTGGCTGTTAATTTCTTTTTTTCTGATGCAGCTTATGATGATATGATATTTATAAAAAATGGCTTGGGCATGGGTGAAAATGTTGCCATAGTTGACCAAGCTATGGTGTATTATAGAGTATGTTTACTTATGCTCAAGCTTTTCTGTTAGATAAATATATTTTGATCAGCATTTCAAATTGCTTATCTGCCATTTGAAGATAGCAGTTGAGCGAAATTTCACTAAGGGGCGTAGAACAGAGCAAGTACAGGCTGCTTGTCTTTACATTGCATGTCGGTAAGGAATCCATATCTTTAGGGAATTGGAATAACGGTATCATTTGGCATTGAGTTTCCAGCTGCTTTTCAAAAATGAGTTTGACTTTTTTATGTATTGTTTTAAGAATTCATCTGACTGCTGTTGGTCAACCATGGTTTGGGAAAAAGCTATAAAAGGTCAGCTTTTCCAAAACATGGTTTGCTAAGCCCTGGACACTAGTACAAAAAGAAGCAGCCTAACCACAATGCCAAATGGACACACTGTGCTCAAGGAATGGCCACACTCTGCCTGCCTAACTATAAGAAAAAGGATAAGTGTTCATTACACTGATGAGTCTGTAACCTCCCAAAACCCTTTCAAAATGTCCTTTAATATTTTATAACCATAATAGCAGAGGGAGACTTTGTGGTTGCTACACTATTTTGATATGAATACTATAAGTGGCGAAACTTTTAGGGAAATCCCTAAAGAACAGATAAAGATATGGAGGGAGCATGTTCACTTTTGTTATTACTATTGTCATTGTTCATATTGACTCCTTTTTTGAACTCTCTATATACTCTATTTCATTTTACACATTACCTGCTTTGAATGATAAGTCTCTATTACTACTGGACTCTGTAAAATAAAAAGAATCTGAACCCAACTATACCTTAACCTTCACTAAATGTGTATCTTTGGCCTTTTTAGATTCTTGTAAATTATACCTTGGCTTAAACAGTTGGTGATAAAGGAACTAACGCCATATATTTTTGTAAAAGATTACACTTTTATGATTACTAGTTTACTATCAAAGGTAATTTCTTCAAGGTTCAACTAGTGTATCAGAGATGTAGGAAGTATATGAGGCATATACTTATGACAGATAACAAAGAAGCATTGAGAATATAGGTGTCTTTTACACCAAAACTGGCCAAGTCTCTATTTCTCTGTCCTTCATTCCAGAGTTATGGGCTTCTTTTCCACCATTAGAGAGCAAATGAGAATATGGAAGCTTTTTTCTTGGAGCTTCAGTTCTGATGACAGAAGGCAAGGGTGGCCTTATAAAAAGTACCACAAGTAGTAATGGGGACAGAAGTCTGGTTGTGCATGATAATGAAAATTAATGATGGAAGGCTGTGGTAAGAATGCAGTCATTGGAATTACTCCCCCTCAAATCTCCTCCTCCCTCGCCCTTTCTCTCCCATTAAGTAAACATTATATATCAATACATGGCAAAGGGCTACTGCTCTCATACTCTAATCATATACAGTAGCAAATAGATTTGCAAAAGAATACTAACCAACAAAGTTTTCATTTTTAGTTAGCATTCATTGCGCTGAGGGTGCAAAATTGTTTTTTGGTAGTCCTATATTTTTCTTTCCTGATCTTTAATTATATTTGGTACTGTGCTGATTATCAGTGCCAATCTAAGTTTGGCTTGTTAATATCGTGTTTCTTCTCTTGTCTGAAGGTTTTTGGTCTTGAAACTAGAAGTTGATATTTGTTTTTGGTACTGACTGTTATTCACGTCGGTAGTGTACTGGGATAGATTATGATCCCTTTGAAATTATTGTAATTTGTTGAATGTAGATATTAGCATCTCATAGTTTCTTGCGTTAAAAGATTGTTATTTTCTTGTTTTCATGAAAAGAAGTACGAATATTTATTTGCCCCCATGTTGATTATTTGTTAATATGTTTTGGTTATAAATTATAGTCAAATTCAGCTGGTATGTACTATTATTTCCCTTGGATTTTATTTGCAGGGAGAATAGAAAGCCATATCTTCTTATCGATTTTTCAAATTACTTGAGAATCAACATGTAAGAAGCCTTCTTCATGTAAAAACAGAGTTCAGCTTGTTTTCCTTCTTGCTTTTGCATAAATAATATAATATTTACTTTTTCTTTTTGTGATTATTTGCAGTTATGTGCTGGGTGCTGTATTTTTACAGCTCTGCAAGGTTTTGAACCTTATTGAGCATCCCATTTGCCAGAAACTTCTTGATCCATCAATTTTCATTCATAAATATACAGCAAGTAAGTATCTGTAGCCACTTAGATACTGATTGGTGATTTTACCATAATGAAATTAGATGGCATTTTTTGTTGCTACTTATTACTGCCGGATTTCATTGGATATCAGGCTCTTATCTACTGTGGCAATTATCTTGGGTTTTATACCCCCTTAATATTGTAAGAAGAGAATGATTGATTTCATTATGATGGAGGATAGTGCATTCTCCTCTTAGTGAAACAAGAGACAAAAGGGAAAATTTAACTATGTAAAGCCTGTCAATCACACTGGATATTTGCTAGAGACAACTCTTCGAAACTCCAAAATCAAATATGAATATTTGATGAGAACAAAAAAAAAGTTTCTTCCCATGTTCCAGTCCTTTTGACTTATTTGTTTCCTGTTCCTATACATCTTCTGAATTTTGCAAGTAAAAACCCTCCAAACTTCTTGTCTATAAGAAAAGGTTAAACTTATTTGTCTACAATCTGTTTGCAATGATGGGAATATAATGAAATGTCTATTGTAGGTTTAGCAGGAGGAAAAAATAAGGATATTTCTGATGCTGCACTGAACATTATAGCTAGCATGAATCGTGACTGGATGCAGGTAGCATATTCTATTTCAATATCATATGAAAAATGAAACTTTCTTGATACTGTCTTGGTGTAAGGTATATGTGTCAATTATCCATGACATATAATGCTTTCTGACAGAGACTAACAATTGCTTGCAGACGGGGAGAAGGCCCAGTGGACTATGGGGTGCAGCATTATATATAGCTGCACTTTCACATGGTGTCAATTGTTCTAAATCAGACATCGTAAGTCACACAGTTATATTTTTCTTTTCTATTTGAACTGCTTAAGTTGATTTGAAGAAATGGCATACTTTCAATTCTTTCTTGATAAAGTCATCCTTCTTCCTATTAAATCTGATTGGCATAACATAACTTTAAACATTTGCTAGCTTGCAGCTTGAGGTCTGGTCTTAAAGTAGCTATTAGTGGAACTGGCATGTTTTGTATATTCTTCATGTGCAATTGTAGTTTGCATGTCTGTGGGGGGTTTTTAACGGGCTTGATGATTCTGGGGTTTTCTCTGTTTGTGCATTTAGTCATAACCCATTTTATCATATTCCTTTCGATGTCAATCATCATGTTGGCAGTCTTATGTTTATTGATCATTGAAATATTGTCATCTTAAAAGCACTTAACCTTATACTTGAAATTTTATGTTATCAGTCAAGGATTGTAGACGATGAATTTGAGAAAATTAAAACTCAAGTCCATTGGGTTAACATTCTGTATTTTATTCACATACTGTTATTTTTTTTTTCCACAGATCTGAAATTCATAAGCAATATATGATCTTTAATTCGTGAATTAGTTGATTATTCTTGTGTCATATCTTGCTGTATTATTCAGCATATTTGAGTTCTTCCACTCTGTGCATCTTTACATGATACAATGTTGAAATGTTATACAGTTGAAATTGGTGCACGTTTGTGAAGCAACTCTCTCAAAACGTTTGGTTGAATTTGAGGTTACAGAGTCTGGAAGCTTGACGGTATGTTCCTTGAATCTTGGCTGGGTATTTAAATCCACAATTGATCATTATATGGAAATATTTTGCAGTTCATTAAAAATGACATATCTGAAAGATTTATATTTGATCTGTTTAGTTGGCTTGAAATAATGAAGTTTTCTTTAAGAAAACCATATGAAAGTCATGAACCTCCCCTTCTCCTCATTTTGGTTACTACTTCCGCATATGTGTGTATCTGTTCATACATCTAATGGCATTCCTTTTGTAGGGGTTGAGCTGTAAGCTTTTCAGTGGAGCTATATCATTGTAGTATATTCTAGTGATTTGATGTGTTTCTGTAGCATGCAACGTAACCATAACATTACATAGAATTTTGGAGTTGATAAATGCGTAACTCTTTGATTTGACAAGTTTTATATGGTTGGTCCCATCATCCCTTGCCTTATTCTGGTGTTTATAGTGATTGTTAGCTCCCTCGAGTTGCAGTCTTCTTGTACTTTCTTTGGAGCTATACAACAGCAAGACTTGAAACAGATTGTTGATGAACTATACTTTAGTCCCTTATGATTTGCTTAATTCTTTTTCCTCTGGTTTATTGGCTCCTGAGGTCCATATTGTTACTGTATTCTGTCAGTTAAGGTGGAAAAATTTATCGGGTCCAAAATGTTGCTTTGAGAACTATAGTCCATAGGGTAATTCCTGGATGTGAGGAATTATGTTTATCTACAATTGGGCTTAGCCTAGATCTATTGAACTTTAGAAGAAGGTAATTATGGAATCTTTAACATATCTTTCAAATATGAATCCACAAAGTTTATGGTTAAAACTTGCAATCTAACCCCACTTTTTCTAAGACAAGAAAGGGGACGGAAAACTTGAGAGTACTCAACCATTAACTGAACTTGTTCACTTGTATTTTAATAAATATATTTTGGCAGGGGCTTAGTCTTCAAGTGTATTAAATATTAACAAAAACTGTTATACATGAACCAAAGCTTGAGTGGTGGTTTCTAAAAGAATGGAGTGGTATCTTTTACTCAATTTAGGGATGAATCTTCCTGAGTGAAAATGGACCAGAATAACACTGTGAGCTAAACAGTTGGAGATAGTCCTTCCTTTGGATTACATTCACCAATTCGGTGATAATTTTTGTGGTGGAGATGATTCGAACTTGAGGCGTCTTACTCCTCACATCTTTTACAAGACGTAATAAAACCAACTAGATCACTCCTAATTGATTGAGTGAACTATATTTCCTCAAAGGCTGATGACATAGCAAACTAAGATTTTTTTTTTTTTTGTCATCTAGAAGTATCCTGTTCTCTTTCATTTTTTTATGTTCCCTTCCTTTTGCCTTTTTTTTCTGATCTTGTCTTCCATTTTACAACTTATATGCTGTAAATAAATAAATTCTTTGATTTCTTTGCAAGTAGATTGAGGAACTAAATGCAAAGGCAGCAGAACTTAAAGAAAGCTCAACCGATGAATCAAATTTTGTGTTGAAGGCGTCAAGCTCTAAAGAGTTGCTTTGTCAGCACAAGGGTACTACCAGAGTCTCATATGCCTATGGTCTTTGTAATGAGTGTTATGCATTTGTAAGTTCTCACCCTTTTCAACATTCTAGAGTGTCCTTTTATTTTCTCCAAAAATTTGTATTCAACTTTGAATATTGCAATTCATGTTTCTGCCTTGATGCAGTTCATAGGTTTTGAGGGCGGATCCGATCCTCCAGCTTTCCAGCGTGCTGAGAAGCAGAGGAAGGAAAATTCATCTGCTAACCATAAGACTAATGACTCAGATTTGGTTAGTGCAAGTTAGAGTTAGACAAATTTAAGCTTTTGAATTTCTCTATTTTTTCCCTTTGTTGTTCTTTTCTTACCAAGAAAAATATTCATATGCTTTTGCAAGTCCATGAATCGGCCATATAGTCAAAGATTGAGAACTCACATGATGTATTATGTTGTTAAGAGTTTGGAAACTTGCTATTATTCATATTTTCTTAGTGAGTTTTTACAGCTTATTCACCTTCGTCTTCTATTATATATCTTCTGTTTCCTTGTTTTTCTACTAGTTTGAGGAAGAGTTGAACAGTCAGCATGTGGGCAAAGGTGAAAGACTAAAGTCTTTGGAGTCAGAAAATGGTAAGTGTTATCTGTTTTATATTTGGGAAGGCATGCTGTGGCTATGATCTTGACTCATTTTATTTGAAACTATAAAATTTCAGGGGAAGCTGCTCAGCATATACCTACTGACGCTGCTGATTATGATAAACTGCATGAAGATGATGATACAAGTTCTAAAGCTCTTGATGAATCAGACAACTTCTCTGATATTGATGATGCTGAGGTGAACAGTTAAATATTGGATGTCTCTTTTTCCTTTTTATGCAAATTAATATCACAATTCTTTTTTTCACCTTTGTGCATTTGTTTAATATGAATATTGGAAGTTAATGTGGCTGATGTGAAAAGTTTACATTAGAGCAAATATTCACTTTTTTGTAGGCTCTTCTTTTGAACCAAATGCCATAAAAACGATTAAGGTGGAAAAAAAAAAAATTGCCTACCAAATTATGCTTGCTCTTACATGATGTGAAGCTTTTCATGCACCAGTGCGATGTTTTAGATAAAAGAATGCTGTGACACTTGTAGACTCTGAAACTTGAAATTTTTGATCTAAAACTTTGTCTTGTTGAATTCTGGGAAGTTGGTTTCTCTACCACCTCCTCCTTACCCAGCAAATTAATAGGTGAATTAGAATATTTCAATGAGCCTTTGATTTTTTTCCCCCTATCTGGTTTAAACAGGAACTCTACCTTTCTGCGGTGCAAAATATTAAAGAGTTGATTTAAGAATTCTGGTGTTACCTTAGTGTGCTTAAAAATGTCTTTCATGCACATGCACATGGATACAGATGAATGCAAAATTGCTTCCTCTTTCCTTGGCCCAGCAAAATGGGAGGGGAAGGAAGAAATTCTCTCCCTCTGTGAAACTGTATCTGAAGGAACTTATGATATTGAACATCAATTGTTTCTGCATTCTGCTCTTCTTTGAGGATGCTTTGATCTAGCGATTAGTTGTCATGGTTTCTGTGCTTGATGCTTTAGTCTTCTGTTATCATGATTAACTTTAACTCTATTTCTACTATTTTCAAATATGAATTGTGTGTTTCATTATATTATGTAGAGTGTTTTCAGAATGTTGTTATTTTATAGGTTGATGGCTACCTTCATAATGAGGAGGAGGCGCAGTACAAAAAGATCATTTGGGAAGAAATGAATCGAGAGTATCTTGAGGTAAGCAAATTCATCTTGAAATTCATTATCTTTTTTATTTGTTTTTGCAGAGTCTAGTTTCTTGCCTCAAACTTATCATAGCAATTGCACAAATATATGAATTTTTAATTCATTCTTGGAGAAGCCATGACATGACTGGATTTATTACCGCTGTTCAGGTTAAAAAACATCTTGGAATCCTTGGTGTCAATTAAATACCATAGGGAAACCTATTAGCTTATTGATCATCTGTCTATTGTCACATTTGGTTTTAGATCTTCTGATATTATGATATTGACTTTATTTCATCTTATTCATTCATCTTTCTTATTTATATATTATGTCCTTAATTTAGAGCTTTGGACAAATTGCCTGGTACCCTTGGTATTTTATTGGCTTTGTCAATGACATTGTTCTTTTGCTAATGGGTATTATTTTCTCCTGATTCTATGAATTTTCCAGTAGTTAATCTGCAATTCTGCAACGCTGTAAATATTTACAGGAACAGGCAGCTAAGGAAGCTGTTGCGGCAGCTGCTAAGGAAGCTTGGGAGGCAAATTTCAAGAATTGTCCAGAGGATATGCAAGCTGCAAAGGAGCTTGAAGCTGCTGTTGCAGCAGCCTTAGCAAAATCGAAAAAGGTATCTTTATGATCATTTACTTGCATTATTAGGAGACTGCAAATACAACTTTGTGAAATACTGAAATATACTCTTATTTCTGTGCTTTGAAAAGAGCTTTTGGATGCTCTCATAAAGAAAAGGAGTAAAAAAGTCTAAACTTGCATAAGAGATTTTTATTGCTCATTGTTCTGCTGTGTATATTAGCTTAGATGGTGTTGATGAATTTGCATCAAAAAACTTGTATTTGGATAAATTCTTTGTATATCTGAATTTACAGGAAAAGCAACAAAAACGAGCCGCAGAAGCAAAAAACTCGGGTCCTGCACAGTCTGCTTCTGAAGCTGCCCTTCAAATGCTGACTAAGAAGGTAATTTGTCAAAACATTACGTGGGAACTTGTTGTTAAAAGCTGCCTCTAAAAGATGTTTTGGTTAAGAGGGAAGAATAAGAATTTGAATTGGATTTAAGGGTTATCAAGTAACCAAGTAACATTGCATTAAATGAAATGATATAATCAGTATTTACAATCAGAACCTCTTTAGTCTGCATGGTAGAGATTCTCTTTTTTAAGCTATGAAGGGACGGGTTAAATAATACAATTGACTAAGAAATAGGGATGCAAATGGGCTAAGCCGCTTGCCAACTACTCAAAGATTGGCTTGATAAAGGCTCGTTCGAGTTTGGCCGTTACTAAATGAGCCGAGTCGAGCTTGATTTTAAAGCTCATTTATAAGAGGAGCTGAGTGAGCTGAGCTTAAGCTCAAATATATTCGGCTCATTTAAGCTCATGGGCTGATTCATTTCAAAGTTCTCCTTTAAGAAGCTCATGACATTGCTTGGTTAGAGGCTTGTGAGATAACTAGTTTACATACTCATTAAATAAATATGCACGTGTGTGTGTGCGCGCACACACACACACACATATATATACTTAATAACTAGCTTATAGAGGCATGTGATGACTTATGATATTTTAGAAATATTATAAACATTTTCATGTATTATTGTTAGCATTTTAATAATTGCAGATAGTGATCATATAGTCTTATATCACTAATTATAACAATATTATAAAGTTTATTTTACATGAAAATAAATGTGTTATTATATTGACAATTACCAATTAGATAAAGAATTTTACAGTAAATATTACCTTTTAATAAATTGATTGTAAGGAATTAATCATATATTCTTCGAGAATTGGTTACTATTACAAAGATTGATGATTAACCTATATTTCAGTCTAGGCTATATATTTATTGTTATTATTTAGTATCTCGAGTATAAGTATGTGTATATTAGTTTATTAAGAAATATAATTTCAATGCCCAAAACAATAACTGTGTTAACTATAATATTGTCTCATTATGCTATATTCTATAATCATCCTTTGCAATGAACCTAATGAAGTGATACTAAAATTAGAATTTTATTAGCTTCCCAAAAAAAAAAAAAAAAAAAAACTTTGCAATGAACCTAAGAAGTGATACTAAAAATTGGAATTTTATTGCTTCCCAAAAAAAAAAAAAAAAAAAAAGCAGTAAATAGTTATTTAAAAAAAAAAAAAAAAAAAAAGCAGTAAATAGTATTTTTTTAGCTAATGTTATCAAACTCAATTAACCTTTAAAACTTAGGGATAACCAATAAATATGATTAACTTAATTTTGATCAAATTAACTTAATTTTTTTGAATTATTAAACTACTTATGGTCAAATTAACAACTTGATTAAACAAATTTCTAATAGCCTTTTATAATTTGTCTAAAATTTCAATCAATGTGCGAGTATTAATAATATTGAGTTGTAATTTTTTTAAGCCCATGCTATCTAAAACAATCTTATTTTTTAAACAGACTAATTCTATCAAAATAACTAATATTGTATGTTTATAATATGTCATACATCTTTGCAATAATGAATAATATATATAAATTAGACTTTTATATTAAAAGATATTAACTGTAAAAGGAATATGTAAGTAGTAAAGTGCGAAATTTTTCTGTTATCCCACATTGGAAATGTGTAAAGGAGGAGAGGCTCCCTTCTCTATATAAAAGAGGTCGCATGCAATTTGAAAGTTATTAAGTGATGGCTAGCTATCACATTGGGCCTAAACAGTTATCCATAGTAATTGCGTTTTTGTGAGTTAGTCCATTTATGCTTGCTAAATGAGGCAGTTATTAAGCCAAGCTCAAGCTCAAGCTCGGCTAGTTTGTTGTATAAATGAGCCAAGGATAAGCTGAGTTTAACCAGGGGTCTAGCTTTCTAGAAGCTTGTCATATGAGCTGAGCTTGAGTTCAATTTTTGATGCTTAGGCCTAAGAAAAGCCAAGCCTAAGCTCTTCAAACATCAGCTTCGTTGTATCTATTGATAATATATTGGAGAATCGTAAAAGATGGCTAGACTTAAATATTAAAATTAAATGGTCGGAGCATACTAGGATGGGATGTCAGTTAAATGGCAATAGACAAATTTTTTTTTTTAAAGAAAATTAATCCATGTAAAAGTTGAATTTTCAAAGTTAGGGAGAATTTTGTACGATGATTTGGTCACATCGGGGGTTGTGAAAGCTTTGTGATCCGATGCATATTTTGTGTGTGACATCCTTATCTTGTGTATTTATGCAAATTGTAACATTCTTCTCATTCTGAGAACATTAATATGGTTTCTTTTGCAGAGACTTAGTTCAAAAATCAACTATGATGTACTGGAGAAACTCTTTGATGAAACTGTAAGTTGCCTTTAGGTTGTTTCTTTCACCCATTATGCATTGTTAGGATGCTTTTATATTCACATTTGATTGCTTAATTTCTATCATATACACAACGTGGTTAAACATGTGGAATGCGGCGACTTATATGTTATATATCTACTTTCGTAGTTCACTTGGTGCATGTGCTGAACCAATTTCTCATGTTGACCAAGTAGAATCATGTTGTTGAGGCTGCTTTCACCATTGAATACTTGTAAAGAAGTACTACAGAACGTACAGTTTTAAAACAGGAACACAAAACTGCCTGAACGGAATAAATAGGCTTCTATCCTCAATCTTGATTTTATGAATCTCAGTTAGTGGCTTCTGCTTTATGTTAACAAGTGAGCCTGCTAAAGTTAGCCATCGGTTTTGAAGTGCCCTACAGGTTCATGGGCATGTTCTGCGGCCTAGTCCAAATGAGTTAATTCTTGTAATCTGTTAATTCAGCTGCCTCACGCTATTTGCATCTTTTTTTCAGAGTAAATATCTAGCAATCTTGGAAATATCGAAATTGTCCAGTTCCTAGGCATTATTTTCATATATGATCATACATTTAGAGATTCATGTTTCCATTACAGGGCTCCAAGGATCCAAAGAAACCGCGGACTGAATCTCATTCTGACAATGAAGACAAGGTTCCTGATCATTTGGGTAATGAAAATGATGATTTGGGGCCAGAAAATGAAAACGAGGAAGAGGAGGATGCGGAAGCATATGACTACAATAATGACCCTTATGATGAAAATGCGGATCAAGAATATGCTTATGATGATGGTGGTGGTGGTGGTGGTTATTCACCATAGTAGATAGCCATTCTTGCTCGTGATATTCTTTCAAATGCTCTTTGATAAATGGCTGGAGAGGAACTGAGTAAGGAACCAATTTTCCTCTCTTTAGTTTATTTAGACTGTAAAATAGACTTTTTCTATTCCTGTAAAATAGACTCTCTTCCTGTAGGTTTTTAGTTTTTTTTTTTTTTTTTTAATAAAAACTTTAGAATTTATTTATTTATTTATTCTTACAAAGGCCAAGTTCCCCTCTATTTTGATTATGTAATTGTAGGGGAGCATGGCAGTCTTGTGATAAGTCATAACATAGTGTATTCTTAGTAACATTCTGTAATTTATATAAATTCCAATAGTGAATATTTTTATTAATTAAATTTATATGCATTGTAATAATTGAAACTGCTTCATAATTTCTTTTTTTTTTGTTTTCTAATGAATATAAGCTATTTAATTAATATATTTCTGATAAAAATTGAGTTCCTAATGATTATAGTCTACCTCTTAATTAATATATCTGTGATTATTGAATCTTTATCAATATAGCAATGTTTTTTTATTTTTTTCAACTTTATCATTCTAATAATGTCTTGTAAAATTTCTGTTTATTTTATTTTATTTGTTTCTTTTTTGTACACAAATATGTAAATATATCCGTAATGGAAATTAATTTTTTTGTTTTGTATTTGCTTGGTTGTAATTAATATCATAAATTTTGTACGAGACTTTTCTAAAATTTTGTTATTCATATTAAAATAAAATTTTGATTGTATAATTGTTGTTCACTCGAAATCAAATTTAGATAATAATGACATTTTCATTGTATTAGAAAATGAAAATAAACTATATTTTGAACAATTTAATGCACAAATTTAATATTTAAAATTACTAAATATAGTAATACATATATAATATAAGTGCTAAAAACTAAAAAGAATAAATTCTTCTAAATCATAAAGATTGACACATTTTCTTCTATGATGATTGACACACCGGAATGTTAACTTTGAAACATTTTTTCATTTTGTCAGAGCAATCATTAGTTGGTGCCATTTTTTTGTTTCGATGTTGAACTTAGCTCTTTTTATATTGGCTCTATTCTGCACCAGCTTTTAAAGTAAAATAAATAGAATTGTCTATATTTTTTACATTTATTATGCATAAAAAATATTTTAATCGGAATAAAAATTATTATGATTTGAATTTTTGACTTGTTATAAATAAATATTTATTAATTTAAATCAGTCGAATAAGATATAAGAGAGAACAAATATAATGTGATGAACATCTAAAACTTTAGGATCATTAAAAAGTAATGTGAACAAAGAACAGAAAGAAAGAAGAAGAAGTAAATAAAGATGGCAACAAAATAAGCAAAGTCTTGGAGACAAGGACTTTGAGACGACTAAGAATCCACAAATCTCTTTAGTTGCAACTATCAATGCCACCACTAATCTTCAATCCACATGTCATAACATCATGAATTTTTCCTAATTATATTTAATTTAATAATAATAATAATAATAATAACCCTAACAAGAAAAAAAAAATTTTTAAAGAAAGAATTACACTCAAAGGCAGACAGAAAGATAAAAAAACAGAGAAGAAGTAACAACCTTCTCCATGTTTCTTTGTATCCACATGAGGTCAAAAACATGCTTGACAGATAAACTAAAAGGATATATGAAATAAAGTAAGTTGAATTAGTAATTTGTTCAATAGAAAAAAACTCTATTTTATAAGTGAAATGGAAAAAAGAAAAACCCAAATATTTTTTTAAAAAAAAAGAATAATTTATTTCCTTCTTTATGGTTGTGGGATCCTTGGAGAAACCTTGGCATTCATTGATGCACAACAATAATGTGGGTGAGTTCTATATATATTGCACTACTATGACAACCACCCACCCACCCACAACAAAGTGGCCACCTACCTACCATTTTTAGGGCAGTGCATAAATTTTTGGCCTCTAAAGAGAGAGCTCAAACATTTTATTTTTTCATTATAAATGCAAAATGGAGCCCTGATCACCACCAATAATGGGTACTGAAAATCTTATAAAATGTCAACTAACTACCCCACAATAGTACTCTCAAAACTAATAGTACACCCTCATTATTCAAAGAATCTAATAGACAGAAATTTTGCTTTCAGGAGACAATCAGAAGAGATAAGAATTAATAGTTTAGATATATATATATATATAAAAGAAAAAAAAAAAAAAAAAAAAGGAGCCCTTGATCACCACCATAATGAGGTACTGAAAATTCTTATAAAATGTCAACTAACACCCCCAATGTACTCTTCAAACTAATAGTACACCCTCATTATTCAAGAATCTAAATAGGACAGAAATTTTGCTTTCAGGAGACAATCCCAGAAGAGATAAGAATTAATGTTAGATATATATATTATATAAAGAAAAAAAAAAAAAAAAAAAAAAGGCTGTAAAAAAAAAAAAAAAAAAAAAAAGGCTGTTTAGCATTTTTCAATCCATAAAAGATAAGGTTTCAGAGATTTCAACTTTGGTGGATGTAAGATTTATGTCCCTCTACCAAAAATCATCACATGTGTGTCATAAGCAAATTGGCAAGCAGGGAAGCTTCTGTAGATATAGAATACAGTGATGCAATATGTTGAGAAACCTAATATTTAGATAGGTGTATATATGATTTATACTTTTATATATTAATTATAAATATATTCTATAATAGGCTGATATATGATGAGCTAAATAAGAGAATTGATAACTCAAAATAAATAGCAAAAGGGAATTGATAAATTAATCAGTAACAGTTAGATGAGTGATTTGTAAGGATAAAAAACCTTTAAAATATTATTAAAATCGCAATTCGACTTATAAAATCATATGATTTATGAGTTTGACGTGATAAAACGTGTACGAAAATCCAACAGCTATCTTTGAAAATTCACATCTAAAGTAGACTTGGAAAATTCTGGAGCAAAAATCATTTATAGTTACAGCAGCTAAAAACAAATGGCGGCCAAAGCTGCAATACATACGAATCGAAACAGAAACAATGCATTATTTGAAGCACTTTAAACTGATTGATAAAAAATGTCACTTCTCTGTTGGTTATGAAAGAAACATATATGTATGCTTTTCTTACTTGACCTTCCTTCACATTATCATTACAACGCTGAATTAAAAACCTTCTACTGATCATCTTAGTGCTCTTTCTTAATTTCTGAAAACAACCCACTTTTATTTTTCTTTGTTTGGTGGGCTCAAAACAGTACCTCCTTACCAAATAGTCCTCTCTCTCAGGAGTTTTTATCAATATATATAGTAAATAGAGAAGAATTATTCGATATGGTGTAACGTACGATGTTACTTGGTCCGTCGATGAATAAAAAACACATGCATGTATATTGAGATTTGATATATTAATTCTGGTCTGGATGTCATCAGCTTCGCACGTCAATACTTGTCCATGAATATGCCTACAGCATCTAATTAAAATAACATATATAACACAAGCTCTCCTGAACCCTTAATCAAAATATTATACGCTTTTCTTTTTCGTTTTTTATTCACTCGACTTATTTACAGAATTAATTATATAACGTGTGTTTATATTATTCTTATTAATTATATAAACTATTAATAATTATTAACAGAAAAAGTTCATTCTATAATGTAAACATTTTATACCATATTGTTTTTGCATAATTTTAGATATTTTATATAAAATATATAATATAGGGATCATCATTAAAACCAAGGACGGAGCTACATGGTGAAAGAGAAAGGGCAATTGCCCCCTTTCTATTAAAAAAACCAAAAGAAAAAACACAGCGAAGACAAAGATCTTGCTGACTTGTTTCTATTTTCTTCTTGTAATAATTAGCTAGGTGAAATTCTAATGGAAAATTCGAAATTTTCTGTACTAGACTTATTTGGTAGAGAGACAAGTTGACAAAAGTTAAGAAATTACACATTTACAAGTCAATATTTTTATATATATAAAGTGAAATTGTTAACCATCTTTCAACATATTTATTATATATAAAATTAATGAAACAATAATATATTTTTATAGATTATATTTTGATATTATTGGCTAATAAATTGAAAATTTTATGTTTTTTTTTTTTTTTTTTTTTTTTTTTTTTTTTTTTTTTTTTTTTTTTTTTTTTTTTTTTTTTTTGTGAATATGTATAATTATTTAAAGACATTACTGAAAACAAATATTTTCTTTAGGCATCAGTAATTATTATAGATCGGGTATGCCCAACTCTTTATATGGCCAGATTCCTTGAAATAATATAATGTTGCAAAAATTCTAGATTTTACAATTAGATATAGTTTTAAGTAGGGCTATAAAATAATCAAGTTGATCATATTTAAAAAAAAAAGAATTACATAATTGATTTCATCCTAGAAATCACCATACTTTTCTTATAACCATAGTACGTTATATGACTCCTGATAGTCATACATTTGCAAACTAGCTGATGAACGCCACAATATACTTGAGTCCACCAAATCGTAAGTAGTTCTCATAAATATAAATCACTTCTCCTAAATGACTTGAAATACTGACAGTAGTTCCTATGAAAAATACTCATCACCCCTTCTTTCGAGCAATTCACAAATTCAAAATCATTCGAGCATTAAGCATTTTTATATAAATAATACACCAATGAATATATGTATATGTGTAATCTATCCAGCAAAAGGCTTATCTCAATAGTCATTTTAGATTCCATTAACCACAATCATGTAAACATCAATACTCTTCTTAACTAGAGTCTAATGTCCTTAAATCCGAATCAGTTTGTTTGCTTATTAGCTACTACCAGCAACTCATCCTCAACATATTCCGTCCATAGGCACATGTACACACATTCATGCATTTTATGCATGCAGGTCACATTCACATCATTTCACCTTTATATTCGTAAACAGGCATAACTTAATATAGCTTTGTGCATACACAACCATACAAGTGTACACTTCATTTGACAGACTTAAATATATCCATATATGTTACTTCCATGTTCACGGCATAAACCATTATACTTTCATAGCTCATGAATTTATACAAGTGACTTCATTGTCATGTATAAACCAATCCTTCATTTATCAAAACTTTAGAAAACCACTCATTTAATCAAAACTGTTTAAGAAAATCACAATTGAAAATTTACCTATAATATATAATATAGATTTTTTTTTTGTTTTTGTTCAAAGTGGTCAGAGAAAGAAGAAAATTTGGTCATATAAGCAAAAATCATTCGTGTTCATGAGAGCAGCATGAAAGTATGCGGCTTCTTCTGGAGGCTAACATGAACAAGAAACATTTTTACAAGTCATTCACGGCTCATCCAAATAATCATAGGTATAAAAGATCCGT